TCTTTCAAAGTAAGTTCATATTATATAACACACAGATTGGTCAGGAGCTCACTGTGATCCTAGAATGGCCTCAAACTCTTCCTCCTCCTGCCTCAAACTCTGAGTGCAAGTATTATAGATATACACCACCATGCTTAGCCAGAAATTTATTTGTTCACATTTGTGATGGCTAGATGTCTGAAATCAGTGTTTTGGCAGTTTCATTTCCTCTAGGTGGGTATTTCCTTCTCTCCTAGCTTCTGGTAGTAGGAGAGGGCATCTTCAGCATTCCTTAGCTTATACCTGAATCAATGAAGTCTGTGCGCTGTTGTCATATGGTGATCTTCCCTATGTTTTTGTCCCTGTGCCTTTTCAATTTCTAAATTTTTAGTAAGGACACCAGTAATTTTGGATTAAAGATTTGCCCTAATTCCACATGAATTCAGCTTAATTGATTACATTTTCAACAATCCTGTTCCAGATAACATTCTTAGATTCCACATAAGACATGAGTTTAGGGGCCAATGTTCAATCCAGGACAATAGGTACAAAATGGCTGGGGTCTAGACTGAGATGTTGGCAGCAAGGTTGAACAAATCCTACAAATGCTAAAAAAAATGAGTAGTAATTGATGTGAACTGAAAATAGAATTATTGTGAGCTACTAATGATCTACTCTTTTATTTGATTTTGCTTCAAAATCAAAAAAGTAATAGATGAAGAGAGATTTCTCTGGTTATCTCCTTCTCCTTTTTACTAAAAATTATGGAGTACACCCTTTGAAGAATCTCAGGCAGATTCAGCTTAGATTCTCTTCTGTGACCCACAGATGTCTCCACTTCATCTCTATTTGCAAATTATAAGGTGGTAGTTATTTTAAAAGGCTATTTGTTTTGAAACTCTTTTCTCTCTTTAGGAAACCTGCATTCAGTTATTCATTTAGCAAATATTTGTTGAAGTATAAACACGGTGATAAGAGATAATTACTGAATTATAAACAAGACATATAAATAGATGTTATCCGTCATGTAGCTTAAAGACTACATAAGAACACAAACAATAAACAAGCATGTAAATGTATAATAATAATTTTTGAAAGAAGCAATGATAATATGTGACAAAACATGGTTCTTTGAGGCTTTTTTAATTAATTTTTTATTAGGATATATTCATTATATGGGGTGGAGTTCATAGCGACAATTCCGATTAGACTTATATTGCACACTAGCTATATCCCTCCCATTGTCTCCCCCTCTCAACTCCCTCCCCACCCTGCTTAAAGCTATTGCAAGAGATTTCTTAGTTCTGTTTCATATAGGTATATGAAGTCCTTCTACCATATACTGTCACCTAATCTCCTTCCTTCACCCTCTCCCCTCCCACTAGTACCCCCCTATGCACATATACTTACCTATTTTACAGTCTTGGTTTTCATTATTTCTATTTAAGTTGATGTTAGAAAGGGTGTCTCAATGTATGCTCACTGTGGTTATACTTTACTTTGGTCCATTCAACCCCTTGTATTACTCTCCTTGACCCCATTACCTACCACCCCCCATTTTTCAACAGCCTTCAATACACATCCTTATATTCTCTACCTTCACATCTTATGTTATGTGCTATTATTGATGCTCTATCATTCTTTTTTTCTTTCTCCTGGTTCCACAGAGTAGTTCTACTGTTACAAATGTGTTCTGCATCTGTGTTTGTATATGATCATGCTTGTTTTTTGTATATGTTTATCTTTGGATCCATCTTCTACTTATGAGAGAAAACATGGGCTTTTGTGTTTCTGATACTGGCTTACTTCACCTAACATGATGTTCTCCAATTGCATCCATTTACCTTCAAACCACATGTCATTATTCCTTATAGCTGAGTAATACTCCATTGTATATGTATACCACATTTTCTTGATCCATTCATCAATTTGTTGTAAGGAACCTGGGTTGTTTCAAATCTTAACCATTGTGAATAGTGCTGTGATAAACATTGTTGTACAGGTGTCTTTATTGCATCCTGTCTCACATTCCTTTGGGTAGAGAGGAGCGGTATCACTGGATCATATGGCAGTTCTACCATTGCTTTTGAAGAATCTTCATACTGCTTTCAATAGTAGTTATATTAATTTGCATTCTCACCAACAGTGTATAAGTGTTCCTGTTTCTCCACATCTTTACCAGCATTTATTGTTATTATTACCTTTTAATTAGGGTGAGATGAAATCTAAGTGTTGTTTTCATTTGCATCTCTTTTACAACCAAGGAAGTTAAACACTTCTTCATGTATTTACTGGCCATTTGTGTCTCTTCCTTTGAGAATTCCCTGTTTAATCCATTTGCCTATTTCTTCATTGAGGTGTTGATTCTTTGAGGGGTGAGTTTTTTGAGTTCCCTGTAGATTCTGGATATTAGTCCCTTATTGGATGAGTAGTTGGCAATGATTTTCTCCCATTCTGTGGGCTGTCTTTTGAATCTAGTAACTGTTTCCTTTGCTCTGCAAAAGCTCTTTAGTTTTATGCAGTTCCATTTGTTCATTCTTTCTCGTAGATGTTAATCCTTTTGTGTTCTGTTTAGAAAGTTGTTCCCTATACCTATTTGTTCCAGTGTATTGTCTACTGCTTCCTCGAATTGTTTCAGAGTTTCAGGCCTTATATTAAGGCCTTTAATCCACTTTGAGTTGATTTTGATACAGGGTGAAAGACATGGGTCTAGTTTCAGTCTTCTACCTATAGATATCTAATTTTCCCAGCAGCATTTGTTGAAGAGACTGTCTTTTCTCCATGATGTGTTTGGGCTCCTTTGTTGAAGATCACTTGGCTATAGATGAGTGGGTTTATGTCTGGATCTTCTCTTCTTATCCATTGGTCTTCTTGTCTGTTTTTGTGCCAATATCAAAAACATGAATTTTTGATTAGAAAATAGCAGTCAAAAGTTGGAGAGGGAGATAGTGAGGAACCCAGAAGAATTGTTTAGCCTACTGATATAAAATTGAGAAGTGAGACACAAAGTGAGAATTGAAGCCAAAAGAATTAATGAGATCACATCAGAGGAGATGTAGAAAGTTTATTCATAAGAAAGCTTGTTCAGAATTAAAATTTATAAAATGAATCAAAGTGGAGCCATTCTTATTGAATCAGAAATAGTAAGGACATTACACCCCAATCCCCTCCCATTTGTAGCCCCATAGTGATCTCTTTGCATCTATGGTCACAGTTCATAAAACTGTTGGTGTTGAGAAAGAATACAAAATAATTTTTTTTCAAAAGTCAAAGTTAACTCACAGCATCCATGTAATTTGGGGAAAATAACACATTATCTATGATGATCATGGTTCTTCATTAATAATAATTTATAACCTCTGTTCTTTTAAATCTCACAACTGAATTTAATGTAGGTCATTCTTAATATATGCCATAGAAGATAATAGTCACAGGTTCCAAATAAATAAAATGTTCTTCCTTAAAATAATAAAACAATTTAGACTAGCACAAAGATTACAGAAAAAGGAATAAAATAGTATATATATATGTATAGGCATCTCCATGTTTCTATGTTTTTTGAGTTGATTTCTGTTTTACCTTATGGTCACATAAAATGTTTTTTAAAAAAGACTATCATCAAGATTTCTTTTCTTTTTCTTTCTTTTTTTTTTTTTTTTTTTTGGTTGGACTGGGGTTTAAACTTAGGGCTTTTTGCTTGCAAAGGAACACCACTTGAGCTACACCGATAGTCCTCACCAGGATTTCTTTGTGTAGATCCCTCTGTACCTTTCTCTCCCCTTTCTCTAGCTTCTTTGACATTTTCTAACAATCATCTTTTAACACATAAACATATTCTTTTAAAAGTCTAAGTTCAGGAAATCAATATTTGAAATTTCTAGTTACTTTTCACTAAACTTTTTTTCAGACACTCAGGTTATATTTTTCCACCTAAGGCTTCCTTCGCAGCAAGTCTTTCCTCTTCTCTAGTAGAGTACCATTTCTGTGTAGAGCAGTGTTTGGCATGCAAATTAACATAGCTGAACAGCAAATTCTTTATTAAACAGGTTAAAATACTGAAAGGAAGATATTTGAAGTGGAAAGTAAAAATTTCAAGAAAAAATGCAGGAAATTTTTCTTGATTCATCATTGTCAATATTTTGAAGAAGAAAAAAACCCTCTTTTCTGTGTCATTATTCTGGATATTGATTAGCTAATTAACCTCTTATAATTGGCTTTTTGTTTAAGGATGGTGAATTAATGACTTGATCCTTTGCTCATTTTGTTCAAGTTTCTGAAATACACTTATTTCCATCCTTACCCTTTCAAACTAGAAATATGTTACTCATTCTTAAAGTTCAGTTCATCCATTTCCTCTTATAGGAGTCTTCATATAGTATAGTTAATGTCCCCTTAGTACTCCATGACGCTCTTACAGTAGGGGCAATATTGAAGATATAGGGCTTTGAAGTAGAGATGCTATAGGCGAGATTACCTAGGTTCAACCGTTAGGTCTGTCGCATTATAACTGTGTGGTTTGAGTAAATTCTTAACACTCTTGAAAAGTTTTGTCTTTTATAAAATGGGAATAATTATAGAAATAGTTTCAAAAATTAAATAATAGGATATTTTTGTGAGGAGTAATTGAGTTAATATAAGTAAGATGTTTATAATACTGACTGGAATAGAGTAAGCCCTGAGTGCCTGCTTGTGATTGGTTACTGGATGCCATGCACTTTGCTAAGTGCACGGGTTTGGGGATGAACTATGGGGAAGACAGGGGTTAACAAATATGCAGTCATGAATAGAAATTTCCAAACTGTCATCATACCATAAAAGAAAAAAAAAGATGTTATGAACCACATAACAAGAAGGATTATTTTCTCTCATTGTTGTAGTATATGTCTGAAAATAAATAATGGAAACTTGATAAATTATGTCATTTTTATCCTCATAAAAATCTGTATAGTTTTCTTTTCTCTCACATGTAAGTAAATGTAGTGCTCAGAAATGGAATAAACACACATTGTTTACTTTTATAGCCTATCAACTAAGGGTATGCCAACCTCCACCTCCCGTACCCAATGCTGAAATTTTGACAGAAGATGATGAATTTGAAATAGGTAAGGTTTGTTAAAATACTTTCAAAGAAAATATGCTGCTAGCAGAGCTATTTGCTTGAAAAGAAGTTTTAAAATCAGGATGCGTGGCCTATCCTTTTCCCCAAGGTTGATGGAAATCGTTCAGGATTTTGTTATGGAGGGAGAGCAGTAAAAGAAGAAAGGAAAAGAAGTATGAACTCTGTTTCCCAGGAGGTATATTAGAAGACAGTGCTAGAATTTGAAAATATCTCTCTGTTCTGGTGATTCTTCCCAAGTTGTTGTTTTGCTGCTGCGTTAAGTCACAGTCCTAACCTCTATTGTTCTTTGAGTCAGGCTTTGGCCTCAAGGAGTAGAATGATTGACATGTATGGTATATTAGAAAACATATTTCATTATCATGTCTTGAAAAACACTTGGTCGATTATATTAAATTTAACAAGAAAGTCCCTTTGAAATTGAATTGGAAAATCTATCCAGGTAATTCTTCATTGTTTGAAAAATAATATAAGAAGACATCTTAATGTAAACGTAATAAACTTTTATCATATTATATTGATTTTGGTTGTGACCTGTATAGAAACTATCAATGATCAATATCAGTCTGGTTTCAGTGTATAAATAATAAATTACAAGCCTTCTAACTAGTTGACATATTTTTTAATGAATATAAACTTATAACAACCAAATTATTTCCTTTTGAATATTACCTCTATCTAACAATAGTGCAGAAGGTCTAGTAACTTACTCCTGCCTCCAGTTTTGATTAGAACTGTTTATTCAACAACTTGAACATCATTTACGCTTGCTTATCATTATTAGAGATTTTTATATTGAATGAAAATGATTAAAAGAAAAAAATCTACTCATAATTAAAATGTCTGTCCTTTTTTATTATTTTTTTCTCCATTGTCTTGTTGTCTACATGAAGTCCCCTCTTTTTTTTTTTTTGAACAGGTGACATTATTAGGTATCAGTGTCTTCCAGGATTTACATTGGTTGGAAATGCAATTCTGACCTGCAGATTAGGGGAGCGACTGCAGATGGATGGTGCACCTCCAGTTTGTCAAGGTACAGATTTTTGTTGCTACTTATTTCTTAAATAGTTGTGTATTTAACTCAGTAAATGCAGTATTGAAAAAAAATCATGTTAGAGCTAAATATTTAACTTGCAATATTTTTATTAAGCATGCAACTCATATGTGGTATTTTCTATTATATTATTTCTCAGATTTAGCTTGCTTTAAACATCTTTGTTACAAGATTTAAATTTTCTTGTTTTGCTTGCAGTAAGTTCAACTTATGTAAATTGTTGTTCTGAAGGGTAGGTATGGAAGGTGCAGAAAAAGGGAAATCATTTTCAATAAAGGCCCCAATGTTGATTACTTTTATTTGGTAAAATGATTACTCTAACCACTTACTGACTAGTTGATAGTAGGAGGACCTGAGGAATCATCAAACCAACCAGGAGTTTTAAGTGTCCTTGCTGTGAAAACATCATGGCAGAAATATATGGCTCTCCTCTAGGCAAAGCCATGTTCAGGGAATAGACCAAGAGATGTAGAATCACAATCCTTAACTGTTTATGAGTCAGAGAAAGCCTGACAGATGCATTATTCTCTGAGTTTCAAATGACCCAATGAAATTTACTCAAAACAAAGGTAGAGAAAAAGTGATCTAAGAGGCTGATGAAAATACAAAGTCACAGGTGAAAGAGTGGGGAATTCCCTATGGTACAAGAACAGGTGATGAAAGATCTTGAATAATATACAGAATTGTGACGTTCAATAACTGTTTATTGTTGATATTTACAACATAGAATAGAGCCTACTGTACAGAAACTAATCCTAAATTTTGACTAATTTGAGTAAAACTGAATTATATTTGACTACCATTCTCCAGATATTTTAGATTACTTCCTTCATTAGGGTTTATTTCAAAGGTATAGAAATCTGCTCTCTGTGAAATATATTAACTGTTATTCTAAGCCAAAAACAAAAATTTTGATTATTATTCTAAACATTCTATAAATAGCTATTAACATTTGATTTTCTACCCAATTGGGATTCTTATGAGAAGATGAAGGATTTCCACAGGAGGCTTTTAAAGGAGGGCAAAGAATGGCAGGTTTCAAGGTATGAACCATGCCCATGAGAAATTTCTCATGATCTTAGTCAGTGTTGGTAGAACACCTTGAGGTTGGTTGGGAACATGAAGTCTGTCACTTGTATTCTAGATAGTCACTTGTCCTTCATTCAGCTTTCTCCTTCATGCAAGACCACACTCTAACCATTTATGACTACACAGGATTCATATTCAAATATTTAGATATACAAATGAAGAAGGTGGAATTTTGCCCTTTTTGAAACAATACATGGGAAAATAATCTAGGCAGACAAAATAGTTGTGAACCAACAAGTACATAATAGGATTTATTTCTTAGGCACAATATATAAACTGTTTTGTGAGCTCTTTGAATGAAAGACTTCTTGTTTTTATGTCCAGATCTTAACTCCATATTTTTAAAAATTAAAAAACAAAATAATCCAGGCAAATTAGATATTTCACAATCTCTTATCTCCTAGCCTTTCACTTTATTTCCAAAATCAGACTTTCCTCTGGGTTAGTAACTGCAGTAATTATTCTTTATTCTGTGCAGAATACAAAATTTTGTCTCATAATAATAGTTCATATACTAACACTTAATAATCATCCCAAAAAATGAATCTATGTGGTTTCTATATTAATAAATTGACCAGACATTTTAGTGAGAAAGCTTACTTAACATTTTTATTTAATTGAGTTTTACAGGCTTGCCAAAATAATCATCCATTTTGAATCTGCTGGAACAAATCTATACTGGTTTTGTTCTATTTTAAATTATTTGACTTTTTAAATGTTTCTTAAAAGGGGGAGAATTATTTTTGATATTCAACTCTGTGTTCTTGTTTTCTAAATTCCACTTAAAATGTGGAAAACAAGCTCAAATATGGCACCCTTCAAATAGTTTGAAATAAATGAATGTCCATTTGTGACTATATTAGGTAATTAAAAATATTGTATCCACTTGAATCTGTGAGCCTTTTTCTAAGCACTGTTTTTCTTATATGTAAAATGGGAACAAAATTCACAATACATTATAATGTTGTGACATGATATAATGTGAAAAAGGTGTTTAATAGTGCTTAATATGTATTTATAATTAACAATATTTATTCTGTCCTTAAAGGTTGTCAGGCTTCATGCTGTCTGCTTGATAGTGAAAGATTGGTGAATTTTTGCATTTGTAGTAAAGGAGATTGTATTAGACCATTCAATTATACGTGTCACAGTACATATTCAATACATTTATTTGTCTTGAACTGAAATTTTCCATTCTATTTCCTTCAAATTAATTTATTTTTACATATTTTTCATTCATTGGAAATCAAAGTCAGGCTTCTAATTTTAGTATGAATGACCTGATGTCCTTATTTAGTTATTTTTAATTTTTATCTCAAAATCATATTCAAAGAGCAGAATTTCAGATTGAAATAATAGACAATGAAGTGAAAGCAGATAAAAGGAAAAATATTACAGTCCTTAGATTTAGCTATACTACATGCATCACTATATTCAATACTCAGTTCTCAATAATCTGCCAATTAGTTTTGGTCAGTTTTATTTTTCAGTATTTTCAATTATTAGCATAGATAAACAACAACTATATATGGCCACAATTCACTATTTTAAATAGTTAATTGATTAATTCTCTTTCTCTACTACTTGGCAACTTTATATAACTCAAAATATTAAATTGCCAATATATTACGCACCCTGACAACTATGAATACAGGAAACTTTCATGTACTTATCTACCTCTCAGAAACTGTATTTGGTGCTTCTATGCCTCACTCATTTGAACAAACACTGAAAATCATTATCTTAAGGTAATGTTGTAACTATTTTAATATGCAATGATATCTAACACCAACAAGTGGACATTTGTCTATAGTAGTTGAATTATTGTCATATGATGGATTTTTCAATTCATCAAGCCCTCAAAAGTTATCTAGTTCACCTACTCCTTTAGTTGCATAGGCATCCTCAGTAAAAACTCTCAAAATTTGGTCTAACCTTAGTTTAAATATTCTTCACTGGCTGGAGGCATGACTCAAGTAGTACAGTGCATGCCTAGCAAGTGTGAATACCTGAGTTCAAACTTAAGTACTGTAGAAAAACAAGCAAGAATACTCTTCAGGAATGTTATACACAGGACACTGCTGTTTTGCTGTAGTCACTTCCACTGTTTTGACAAATAGAAAGTTCTGTCTTCTATTGAACTAAATCCTGTTTGTTATGTTTGATTTACTTCTGACAATGCGGTTCCCACACTTGGATAAGGTAAAAGTTTAGCCAGACAAGAAAGTGAGTAAAAAGGTAAGAAAAGAAAATGATGGGGCCAATGCATAGATAAGAGAAATAGAAGTGAGAGAACAAAACAACCAAATAAAAGTTGGAAAAAAATGTGGAGAAATAGAAGGAAAAAATGTCTTATCTTTTATTTATCTCTTTAGTTATTGTCCATGAAAGTAGTCCATCTTCCATGTAATAAGAAAAAGAAAAAAAAAGAAAGGAACTCAACATTATAAATTTTTAGGTAATTCTTCCATATATATTTTTTTCAGTTCTGGAAACTTGCCAGGCAAGTGCTCTTTCACTGAGCTAACCTCCCAACCCCTCTTCCACATTTTTAGTGGTAGCTTAAACAAGTGTCATCTGACATATAATTCAAGGATTATGTCCTTTATAGTTATTAAAAATGAGAACAGACTACTTGGCTTTTAAAATGCAATTTTCATACAGGTTTAAAAAGACTCATATTGTTTAATGATGTCTTTCTTTGACAGTGCTCTGTCCTGCCAATGAATTACGGCTAGATTCTACAGGAGTCATCTTGAGCCCTGGATATCCTGACAGTTATCCAAATCTTCAAATGTGTGCATGGAGTATTTCAGTGGAAAAGGGTTATAATATCAGCCTGTTTGTAGAATTCTTCCAGACAGAAAAGGAATTTGATGTTCTTCAGGTGTATGATGGTAACCATGGGTTATATTTACTGGATATTCATAAATTTATTCCAAATGCTCTCTCTATACATACAGACCTTCAGTGTGAGCAACTACTTATATTATTTTGTCATATAGATATTTTTGGGAGTATCAAAGTCAAATTAACTGTATTCCATATAAAAAGTATAGTTAGCTTAATAGCTTACAAATTGCACTTATTTTAATTATGAAATTAAGTTAAGATGCTTAAAAATAAATATTTAGTTTTATGTTTTTACTTACTGTTGATGAGGCAGATTGGCTGTAGAGCAATTTAACTGTATAATACTATTTAAAAGATGTAAATGCTAAAAATAAATGAGAATATATTTATTGTTATATCTAAATTATATTATTTTCTTTCCAAAGGACCAAATATTCAAAGTCCAGTACTGATTTCCCTTAGTGGGGATTATTCAGCTGCTTTTAATGTAACCAGCAATGGTCATGAAGTATTTCTTCAATGGTCAGCAGATCATGGCAATAATAAAAAAGGCTTCAGGATACGATATATAGGTAGGTGATGCTCATAACCTTGGTACAGATGTCACCAGCATCCTCATTGTGATTGTGATTAAGGAGTCTAGTGACTACTCAACCCCAGACCCTCCACTAATGCTTCTTGTACAGCCTGGGTAACTTCTCTGTGCCTTAATTTCCATATCGTAATGATAATAATTCTGTCTGTCATATGATTTTCTAATACATTAAAAACACACATGGTATTTATAACTGTGTTTAGTTAGTGATAATTTAAACTGAATGTTTTAATTCTGTATTTCAAAAGATTTGCTTCTCTTCATCTCTCAGAAAATGTTTATATTATTATTGCTCATCTTTGTATTATCTGATCTATTTAATAATTCCTTTAAATGGCAAGTTTAAACAAAAGATAAACATATAATTGTAAATATCTCATTTTAATTATTATCTGTCATTTTATAACACTAACTAAAATATATTAATTACTGAAAGAGAATGGTGAACATATTTAAAAACCTTAACCTTAAGAAAGTTGTGGGCTAAAAATTGTTTTTAGTATCAAGATGATATATCTTTTCCTATATGCCTCTCTTTTTCATAAGAAAGATCTGCAAATTCTGAGTCAACAATTATCTTGTATAAATACACATTAATAGTTTTCTATTATGGGAAGTTTGTATTCTTTTTCTTTATTGTCATCCTCAACCATATCAGAGACTATCAGTGTGGGATCAGTAGCAAAATACCTGAGAATGCATCAGCCATCTCCTTCTTTACAGTGTTCATTCCTCCCAAGTCATAGGTCACTTACTAATTATTTCAACTAAAAATTACTTTTATAAATGCTTTTAATAACTGATATAATTCTAAACATATGGACAAATAAATCTTGAATTTTGTAGCTGGTGGCATGTTGCTAATATGTTTATATATTTTATCCTATATAAATTTTTACTAAAGTCAAAGGAAGAATGATGTAAAAATTTAAGAATTTTCCCCAGACGTCTTAAGATTGCTCATATTGAGTCAGTTTTTACTATATGAATACATAAATGCCATTTTATTTTTGTTGTGCTACAACAGAGCATTTACAAGTTAGCATATTAAATCATATTTTAAATGGTTATGATAACTTACAATGAGACCATTCGGTTTAAACCATTATATCATTAGATTGCCTGTATTATAGACCAATCCTTATTCATGACAAAGTTTGTTATAAATATAAAGAAAATAGCACTTTTAGCTACCAAGAACAGCTTGACATATTAAATATGCATTTTTCCTTTAGAAATGACAGGTTATGACATGTATATTCTAAGTCCAATCTGCTTCTCACTATTTACCGCAAAAGTTTCATTTTTCTCAGATGAGTACATTAAAGTTTCCAGGGGTAAATGGAACCTGCCAAGCTGAATAGTTTCAAAAGTGTATTTATGAAAAAGCTATTTGACATTATCTTTTGACATTTCAGACTTTATGAGAGGAAAAATGTTTTATTCTATTGGAATTTTTATCACATATGTAAGCACTGTTGACAGAGAGGAAACTCTTTAATAGACCAGGAAAGAGGATTATGAAAAATGGGGGCCTGCTTTAGACATCAACCAAAATGAAATGCATGACCTACCATGATATATGTGTCTGGGGATAACTTCAAAGTGACACGTAAACAACATACTTTAAAATATTGTTCTTGAGGCTGTAGCATTTAGACCCCTCCAGTGATTGGAAATACAGCTTCCAAAATTCAATGAAATACTTGTAAGGTTTTTGAACCTCTAGGGTGTTAAGAATATATTTCAATATAGAAGTCATCTTAGATGACAAAAAAATTAGAAGCCCAGATTGTTATATATCTTAAAAGCCAGGTTATTTGATTGTTCTCAAAAGGATAGAGAACAATAAGTTATTTATAGAAACTAACATTCATGTAGGTGACAATTGACCAATACTTAAGTACCACCATTTATTGTATAATTGTTGATAACTTTGGATAGTAAAGAATTTCTGATTCATTAGTTAAGCAGTGATTCTGGTTTTTTTTTTTTTTTTAAAGCTTTCTACTGTAGTACACCAGAATCCCCACCTCATGGATATATTATCAGTCAGACAGGTGGACAACTGAACAGTGTAGTCCGTTGGGCCTGTGATCGAGGATTCCGCCTAGTGGGGAAGAGCAGTGCTGTGTGCAGAAAGTCTTTCTATGGGTATCATGCATGGGATGCACCAGTTCCTGCCTGCCAAGGTGAAGTATATTATTCCCAAACTGATAAAACTTTTTAATGTATTCATTGTATGAATACATTTCCTATCATAGATCCCTCTGAAAAATGACATAAAAAGATAGAATGATAAATTTAAGAGGAAGAGACAATTTTTTTATTATCATTGTGCTGATTGGGGTTACATTGTAGCATTCACAAAGGTTCTTACATGTATCAAATATATCATACTGTGATTCACCCTTTCCATTGATCTCTTTCATCTTCCCTCCCCTGATTCCTGGAACAGTTTCAACAGGTATCACTTTTTTGCATTTCCATACATGTGTATACATTATTTGCACCATATTCATCCTCCTACCCCTTTCCCTGCCACCTCCCTCCTCCAACTGGTGCCAAAGCCCTCTCCCTGGACAGAACCTGTTCTATCCTTCTGTTCTCCAATTTTGTAGAAGAAAAAACACAAAAGATAAAAAGAGAAACATGGCAATTTTTTGCTAGCATGAGATAAAGAAAGCTACACAGGGAGTTTTCTTGTGCTGTTTCTATACATATATGTATTAAAACCCAATTGGCTCATTTCTATCAGTCTTCTTCACTCCTCCCTAGACCCCTTCCCATGGTGGCCCCGGCCAGTTTAAGATTTCTATACTCATTTCTGTACAGTGAGCACATAAACCACATTCAAGTTTTTGGTTTTCTTCCCTTGCTATATCCATTTCATGCACAGCTTCCCCTTAGTGTGACCCGTGTCCCATAATATTGCTGCATTTGTTTTAGGTCTGTAATCCACAGATAATCAGTTTTCTGCAGCTGAAAACATGCAGCTTTTGGCCTTTGGAGCCTGACTAACTTCACTTAAGATGTTGTTCTCCAATTCCATCCATTTACCTGGAAATGACAAAATTTCATTCTTCTTTGTGGCAGAGTAAAATTCCATTGTGTATAAATAGCACATTTTCTTAATTTTGACAGTAGTGGAGCATCTTGGCTATTTTCATAGATTAGCTATTGTGAATAGTGCTGCAATAAACATGGGTGTGCAGGTGGCTTTGCAGTAACCAGAGTGACATTCCTTTGTGTATATCTCTAGGAGTGGTACTGCTGGATCATGTAGCAGATCTATTTTCAGTTTTCTAAGGAGCCTCCATACTATTTTCCATAGTGGTTGTACTAGCTTATATTCCCACTAGGAGTGTTTTTCCCCACATCCTTGCCAACATTTGTTGGTGGTGGTGTTCTTGATGGTAGCAATTATTAACAGAAGCGAGGTGGAATCTTAGTGTGGTTTTGATTTTCATTTCTTTTATGGCCAGGAATGGTAAGCATTTCTTGATGTATTTTTTTTAGCAATTTGGACTTCTTCCTTTGAAAAAGTTCTATTCAGTTTAGTTGCTCATTTCTTTATTGGGTCATTGGTTTTTTGGGGAGTTCAGTTTTTTGAGCTCCCTATAGATTCTTGTTATCAGTCTCTTGTCTGATATACACCTAGCAAAGATTTTCTCCCTTTCTGAGGGTGGCCCTTTCAATTTAGAGACAATTTCTTTTGTTATGCAGAAGCTTTTTAATTTTATGTAGTCCCATTTGTCAATCCTTTCTCTTAGTTGCAGAGCCACTTGAGTTCTACAAAGGAAGTCCTTGCCTCTGCCTATTAGTTCTAAGTGTATTCTCTGATCTTTCCCGTACTAGCTTAAAGATTTCAGGTTTGATATTAAGCTCCTTAATCCACATTAAGTTGATACTCTTATTGAGTGACAAACAGGCATCTAGTTTCAGTTTTCTACAGGCAGAAACCCAGTTTTCCCAGCAGCACTGTTGAAGAGGCTGTCTTTTATCCATAGTATATTTTTGACACCTTTCTCAAAGATTAGGGGGTATAGCTGCATGGATTCATATCTGGGTCCTCTATTATGTTCCACTGGTCTTCATATCTGTTTTTGTGCAAGTACCATGCTGTATTTATTGCTATGGCTCTGTAGTATAGTTTGAAATCAGGTATTGTGATACCTCCAGTATGTTTTTTTTTTTTTTTGCTCAGTATTGCCTTGGATATTCATGGTCTTTATATTTCCAAATGAACTTTAGGGTAGATTTTTCAATCTCTGTGACGAATGTCATTGGGATTTTGATGGGAATTGCATTGAACATGTAGATTGCTTTTGGTAGTATAGCTATTTTTACTATGCTGATTCTACCAATCCATGAACAAGGGAGATCTTTCTACTTTCTGTAGTTTTTTTCAATTTCTTTCTTCAATGGTTTGTAGTTTTCCTTGTAGAGGAAAGTTTATTCCTAGGCATTTGATTTTTTTGAGGCTATTGTAAATAGAATTATTTTCCTATATTGTTTTTCAATCTGTTCACTGTTGGTATATAGAAAGGCTACTGACTTTTGTAAGCTGATTTTGTATCCAGTTACTTTGCTGAAGCTGTTTATGTTGTGTAGTTTTTGAATCGAATTTTTTGGGTCTTTTAGAAATAAGATCATGTCATCTGCAAATGGTAATAGTTTGACTTCTTTACCTATTTCTATTCCTTTTATTTATTCTTCCTGCCTTCTTCCTCTGGCTAGAAATTCCAAGACTATATTGAATAGGAGTGGGAAGAATGGGCACCTTTGTCTCATTTTTCACTTTGGGGAAGTAGTTTCAGATTTTCCCTATTAAATATGATGTTGATATAGGTTTATCACATATACCCTTTATTATGTTTAAGTATATTTCTTCTAATCCTAGTTTCATCAGAGCTTTTATCATGAAACTGTGTTGAATTTTATGGAAGGCTTTTTCTGCATCTCAATAGATGAGTCATAACAGAGTCATTGATTGCTTCTGTTAATATGCTGTATTACATTGAATGATTTGCATATGTTGAACAATCCTGTATCCCTGGGATGAAGCCAACTTGATAATGGTATATAATCAATCCTGTATGTTGTTGGGTTTGTTTTGTCATTATTTTATTGAGGATATTTGCATCAATGTTTATTAGGAGATTGGCCTTTAGTTCTCGTTTTTGGATGTGTTCTTGTCCAGTTTTGGGATGAGTATAATTCTGGTTTCATAAAATTTAGACATTGTTCCTTCCCTTTCTGTTTCATGGAAAAGAAAGTATTGGTATTAGTTCTTTAAAAGTCCAGTTGAATTCAGTGGAGAATCGGCCAGATCCCAGACATTTCTTTTTTTGGGAGACTCTTTATTGCTGCTTCAATTTCATTTCATGTTATAGATCTGTTTAGGTGATTTATATCCTCTTTGTTCAGTTTTGGATGGTTGTATGTATCTATAAGTTTGTTTCTTCTAGATTTTCCAATTTATTAGAATGTATGTTCTCAAAGTAGTCCCTGATGATTCCCTGGATTTCCTTGGTGTTTTGTTATCTCCCTGTTTTTGTTTCTGATTTTTACTAATTTTGTTTTTTTCCCCCTCCTAGTTTTAGTCAGAGACAATTGTTTTTTTCTAATTCATCATTATTGTTATGCATTTATGTGCATCTACTTTCCCCTAATGCATCTTCCATTTTAGTTACTTTTTAGTCAGAAAATGATCTAAGCGAATGTACAGATTGAGTTAGTGTGGAGCTTGTAGAGAGATAATAGAGAATAAAATGAGCAAGTATATTGTCAGCTGTTTCACTCAGAGCATACAGTATGATGCTCACAAAGAAATGAATTTAAGAGAAAAATGTAACTGACTATCTGATTATTTTTTATTCACTGGTTTAACTAACTCAACGGGGTTGTGTTTTTCATTCTTACTTGTTTTCCTGTTAAAAATCAAGGCACTTTCTGAGCATTATATCTTACAAAAGTACAAGATCATTAATCAACAAATGATACATTTTAGATATTCTAACTGGGACTTGGTTTTAAAAAGCACTTGCGTCTCTAGCTACAAAGTCAAAAACACAAGTTAAATATCAGTTAAATAAGACAAACTATTGTCATTGAAATGAACATGTTTAAATACTAATTTATTATAATTTTTGTTAACATGAAAATTATTTTATATTTGATTTGTTCTACCCAGAATGTAGAGTTGTGTATAGCATGGAGCCCTGATTTCAAATACCTATACCACCAAAAAAAACCATGCAGAACACTTTCAGTAAATAAATAATACATCTTAGTTATCACCTCATTTTGAACTTACATGTTTTTTTAACTTTTGTATTTTAGTAAACTAGCAAAGCATCTACTTTTCTTTGGCCAATGAATAGCAGGATTATCTACAATTTCTTAGTATTAATTAATTTTGTGGGATTGGTTTGGGGATCTTGATCTCATATTTTTATTAACTTGGGAAATAGAGACATACAAAATCAAATCATATACATTTTAAATAAACATTAAAATATTCTAAACTTTGAACTTTTACATTTCAGTTAAATAAGTATTGTTATATATATGTATAAACATGCACACATCCATATACATAAACTTTAAGAAAGCTTTCATAAGAACAATTATCTCTCAGTTAAAATAAAAATATCCCAAACTTTCTGAAAATTTGCATTGATTTATAAAATCAGTCCTATAATCTCATTGATTTTTAGGTGCACATATAATATCACATGTGCACTCTTACAGTCACTTTGTTATTTTTGTTTTAAATTCTTTAATATCAAATTTGCTAAGTTGAAATGAATTTTTAAAAAAAGATATTTAATGTAGTCACATTAAGAAATATTTATTATTCTACTCACCATTTCTAAAAATTAATCTTTTATGACTTTCAAAACAATTTGAAAGTATTATTTTATAAAATGTTTGTTGAATGTGTTACCTATGTATTTGCACATAGCTAATTATTTGTTATCAGAAACTCATTAGAAAGAGTTTGTCACCAATGTAAACTTTTGCTCTAAATTTGTTTTACATTTATCAATCACTTTTATGTCTTCTTCAGTCCTCTTAGGCTACCTTAGAAGTTTTGTAAGCAGAAAGCAAGAAAATTTCACAATTATTTGAGATTCCCTTTTTAAGTTTTGTTTTGTTTTAGTTCGCTTTGTTTTTTGAGACAGGATCTAGTTATGTAGGTGAGACTGACCTGGAACATCAATGTGACTGTTTTTCTGCTCATAATTTGCAAATTAAAAAAATTACAAAAGATGAAATTATTCAGCAGTAGAAATTCTGCCATTCTGTTTTGACAATTTTACATGGATTTCAGTAAGTTTTTTTTTTTACTTTATATTCAATTCACATAGATTATTGAAAATTTAAAATCTAAATGATAGGTAGAAACACTTTCAGTTTGAAATGGCAGATGGGTGACTTGAAAACAGCACTTTTAATATTTAAACTAAAATGATATTTTCTGTTCTTTATTTCTTTTGTTCTGACAAAAACTGTAAGTGTAGAATCCTTTACTTGTAATCTGTAAAGCTCATATTCAAATACTTCATTCTGTCTGCAAAGATGTTTCTAATGTTTACAGATAATATACAGAAATCCAAATAATCTAACTATATTAGGGTTTTGCTATAAAATATGTTCGTTGGAAGATTCTGGGTTTTTTCTTTTTGTAAAAGTAAATTGAGTACTTGGCTGAAAGGGATAGAAAACAATTAATCTTATGGGATTTCTTTGTAGTCTTTGAATTTGCAAGAAGTGAAACAGGACTGGAGATGTGGCTCAAGTGGTACAGTGCTTGCCCTGTAAGCACGAAGCCCTGAGTTCAAATGCCAGTCTGACAAAAAAAAAGAAATGAAATATATATAATAAAAACTCTGAACACACTCATTTTTACTATCATTGGCATATCACAGTAAAACTAAATTTCTCTTAGGTCTAATGCACTGTAGATAAAAGCTAAGGCATCTGAAACACAAGAATGAAATTCAAGAAGATTCTGGTCAGGTTTTAAGACAACATGTCTTTGTCTTATATTAATTAAAGACATTCAATGCACATGCTACCCAACAGATTGTGCTCAAGCACACGTTTGTTGCACCTTAGGTAAAGAATTAATTTGCAGATAAAATCTATTTGTTTTATTCCTGGCTAAAATACTAATGAGTACTGCCTGCTCCCTTCATAATCCTTAGTAATTATTTGCTAAATTGAGTTAACCAAACTTGCTCTGTGGTGGTTTGGTAATGACTTAGAACTAGATACACACAATATTCAAATAATTTTTATTCTCATATAATCTATATAAATATTAATAGCCATGTACATGGTGACAAGAAACAAATAAGGCATCAATACATAGATTCACCAAGTTAGACATATATTCAATAGGAATTTGAAATAAATTATTCAAAACTTACGGTTTGGAAAGTTTCATTTCAAAAGAGATATTCTGAGTTTCTTTCAGAGGGATTGATAACATTGAATATAGTTTCACATATGTTACAGTTTAATGAATTTATAATAATACATTAAGTATTGTTTTGTTTCTATGATTTTGTACATATGTATCTATTACAGCAATTTCCTGTGGGATTCCTAAAGCCCCAACAAATGGAGGCATACTTACGACAGACTACTTGGTAGGAACTAGAGTCACCTATTTTTGCAATGATGGATACAGACTTTCATCCAAGGAACTCACTACTGCTGTGTGCCAGTCAGATGGCACGTGGAGCAATCACAACAAGACCCCTCGCTGTGTTGGTATGCCCTTCAAGGAAATTTCATCATTTGTGTTTCTACTGGCATCATACAGGATTTGATTTCATGTATTGTTGAATTTTTAACACTAATCATTGGAATGAAGGGTCCTAAAAGGGAAATAATAATTAAGTAAGCTGTCTTGTACTATGAAGTACTGAGAGACAGTAAAAGGACTTTTCATTAATTCTGGAAACTTGACTACATTAAAAATATTGTCAATTTGATTTCATAAGACAAGAATTCATTGTTTTTGTAAAAAAAGCTGTACATCAATTTACATTTTCAATATTAAAATGCTTAATATCTTTTACAGTTTACATTAGAAAATTATACTTTAAGACATTCAAATCTGTTTTTTATTAGGATAAATGATGCTGGTATGATTATCCAAACTTGTGACTTTTCTCAATATTCTTTAGGTTACTTATAGTTAGAACATTTCCACTGTCTTCATTATTACTTTAATAGATTAATGAATATTATACAATGATAATCAAAATTAATTCTGACAAAGAAATTGGTAACAACAGGAATGGAAAAGGTTAGCTTAAATAGTATCTTTGATTTTCTCTATATTTAAATTATTTCCATTTGGTACTAACATTTTGTCTTCATTGCAATTTCACTTAAAATGTAGATTGTTAAATTATATTCAGTCTTAGCAAAGGTGTCTAATGTTTATACTTATCTTGAGCAAATTTTGCATAAGCCACAGTTTATATCAGAGCAATTGTATAAAAATCATTCACATCAAACAAATTTTGTAAAAATATATCTAACATCTAAAGTTCCAAAATGGCTAAATAAATAAGGGAGTAAAAGCAAGACAGAAATTGGGATTTCAAGTGGATGGAATGATGTGTATAAAGATCAAGAATTGTGAAACAGCAGGTTATGTTCAGGGAGCTACCAACAATAATGGAAATGGAAATGATAATGTGGAAAAGAAATAAAGAAGAAATGCTACAGGACCTCATATGGCACAATAGTGAGTGAATTAAGGCAGAAGCTTTGGAAAGAGTGGAACACATGTTAGATATAGTTGAAAGGTAGAAGAGAAAAAGTTGACTTATTGGTATTTGTATTCTTGGGTTTTGTCTAGTTGTTACATGTCCAAGCATCAATTCCTTTACTTTGGAACATGGAAGATGGAGAATTGTTAATGGATCCCATTATGAATACAAAACCAAAGTAGTTTTCAGTTGTGACCCTGGTTATCACGGCCTGGGTCCTGCTTCTATTGAATGCCTTCCTAACGGTACCTGGAGTTGGAGAAATGAAAGACCATACTGCCAGAGTAAGTTTACATTCTGATGAAATATTTCAGAAGCTATCTTTGTCGATTGAATTGGTTCCTAAACATGCTAAAACAATAATGAAAATTTTTTCCTGTTTTAGAGATGCAAGTCTCGCAATGTTGTTCAGTTGAGGAGTACCCCACACTGCTGGGTTCAAGCAATTCTCCTAGCTAAGCTTCCCCAGTAGTTGGGACTACAGGTGTGAACCACAGGCCAGCCAGATAATATTAAGAATGTGATTATTTTCATTACATTTTAAAGTTTCCCAATTATGTTTTTGTTGATAAATGTTATTTAGAGAAAAAGAAACTATGGGCTGGGCACCAGTGTCTCATGACTGCAGTCCTAGCAACTTTGGCAGCTGAAAGTGGGAGAATCACAGCTCCAGGCTAACCTGGACAAATAGTTTACAAGATCTTGTTTTCTAAATAAGCAGATCAAAATGGACTGGAGGTATGGCTCAAGCTGTAAAGTACCTGCTTTGGAAGTGTGGAGCCTTGAGTTCAAACCACAGTTGCATTAAAAAAAAAAAATCCTGGGCTTTGGATTCAAAAGTCTTGTGGTAGGTTCTGGAGAGGCAGAGATCAAAAGGGTTGCGGTTTGATGCCATCTGGAGCAAAATTTGAGACTCTCTCTCAATGAGCAAGCCAGTTTAGTGGCTTGTGCCTGTCATCCTAGCTATGTAGGAGTTATAGGTAAGGAAATCAGGGGCTGAGTTAGGTCCATGGCAAAAATGTGAGACAAACCTGAAAAAAATTAAAGCAAAAATGGCTGGAGACATGACTTACTTTATATAGCATCTGTCTAGAAAGTGCGAGGACCTAAGTTCAAACTCCAGTGCTACCCCCCAAATAAATCTCATTACCCAAAATTTAAGTGTTATTTATTTTTCACTGACATAATAATGATCATTCCATTTTTGCTGGATCTGGCTCAGAAAAGAATTTTCTAACCGATATTCTCCTGCATAGCTGGAACCACAGGCCTGTAACACCACACTTGGCTTTTTTATTGAGATGGAGTCTTGCCAACTTTTTGTCCAGGCTGGCCTTGAACAGTGATCCTTCTGATCTTTACCTTTTGAGTAGCTGGGATTGCAGGTATGAATCACTGTACCCAACCTGCAATTTACTTTCTCATGCTTTCATAAAACAACCATGCTAATAAATTAAAAAAATAGATTTCCAAATGTGTTTTATATTCGAAAGGAACACCTCTGTGTTTATAAATTTTTGCTCCATCTTTTAGAAGATCTTCCAAGATTTTTCTCTGCCTGCAGGCTCTTTGTTCTTCTAGTATAATTTCATTGAAAGGGCAACTACAAACTAGGGGAAAATTATCCATAATAGAAGAACTCATTTAATATGAAGTAGACAAGTGTTATTCTGGTTCATTCAGGCTAGAACTTCTGTTGTATGAAGGGATTTAGATGACGCATAAGATTAGGTAACTGTCCACAGGTTAGAATGGGGTGACGAGGCAGCGAACAATTGCATTTCACTAAAACAAATGTAAAGAACTGTAATTATTCTAGACCTTTGTCTACTTATCTTTTGAACTTAATATACATATTAATAATATTACTATATTAATAATATTGAGTTACTTCAAAGGATTACTTTAGGAATTAACTCAAACACTTCAGAATATCTTAAACTTCATATTCAATTACTTTATTTTTGCAATTTTTCTACTTACGTATCTGGCAGCTATCCAAATCCTAGAGTAGAAACCTGCAGCTGCAGCCAGAGAGATGCTCTTAGAGCTTATGATTAAGTGCTGGATTATGGAGTTAGATCGTGGGGTCTCAATCTTGATTTGGGTACTTATACATGCCTTATGAAAGATACTTATCTTCTCTGTATCTATATCCTAGTGAACATAAGTCAGAAAATCATTGTACTATCTTTAGAGACTTGTTTTGAGAACTGCACAAGTGAAAACACCAACAGTAGTGCCTGGTACAAAAAAGCATTTGACATACGTGTTATTGCTTTTATTTCAAAACATCACTTCATTTGTACTCTTTAAATATGATGGAATCATAAGAGATATATTCTGAATGACCTAATAAATTATTTAATTTTCCTTTTTCATTTTTTAAAGACATACAGCATGAGAAATAAATCTAACAGATTATGTGAAAATCAAATATTTTATATCACTTGATAAAAATTATAGTTATTATGCAAACATTGGTTAAGATAGGAAACTTTGGCTTAGAGCAATAAGTTTGGTTTAGGTCACTGCTAATAAGTGAGAGAAAGATTTTGGACTATGGAATTATGCTCTTTAACCTTGGGATGGCTTTTCCATTCTAACCAGGTTGCTTAAAAACAACTTTAAGGAAAACAACCATAATACAGATCTCTGTCACTTAGAAGATTTTATGGGAACTCAATGGGTCTAAAATTTTAACCTGAATTAAAGATCCCACAATGTACATGCAAAAAACAGAACACCATGCAGTTAATAAGTACAGTTTTATGTTTTTATATACCAGGTAAAATAAGTGTCATTTAAAGAACTTCAAAATATGGTTAAAATTTGAATTGTGTCCCGGTTTGTTTCTGCACTTTCACATTCAAACATCTTTTACAAATGTCAATTTCACTTTTAAATGCATCAAATTACAGAGAACTCACAATATTAAAGGCATGCTTTAATGAGTGCATATTGATTGTGTCTTAAAAAGTTTCTACTTATTATTTTAAAGTTATTTCCTGTGGAGAGCTACCTACACCTCCAAATGGAAATAAGATTGGAACTCAGATTTCATATGGCTCCACAGCTATCTTTACCTGTGATACGGGATTCATGCTTGTTGGCTCTGCTGTACGGGAATGCCTTTCCTCTGGTCTTTGGAGTGGATCAGAAACCAGATGTCTAGGTACAGATTTTTAATTCATTTAAACTACCTCCTCCCAAACATGTGTGCTCTCTCTCCTCCCACATCTCTTTCTCTCTCACCCACACTTCACCCCCAACCCACACCTGTATACACACACACACACACACACACACACTGTAAAGGAAGCATACCTTCTTTTCACCTAATGTGAGGTCATAACTTCTATTCATTTAGATACTGAAAACCAGAAAATACTCAACTGTAAAAATGTCTCATGGTAGAAAATCTGTTAAGGAGATAACAAAGTTAATCAATCAATATTTCTAATGAGAGTCTTATGTCACTAAGGAGAGATGCATTGTGTTCTAGGAATGGAGAAAATAAAAAAGTAATAACTATTTGCTGAAAACAGTGTGTCCATACTCAGGTGGATTAATTACTATAGAGGTCAATTCCTTCTACAGCATAGTCAATTCTCCTGTTACCTGTTTGCTTAAGGTAATGGCTGAAGAAGAAAAGCAATGTCTGCATTTCAACATCTTCCTCCTCTTTTATAGTATTTCAACATGTGTAAAACTACTTTCTATTAAAACTTTTTAAGCCTCTTTTTGAACCTCATATTTGACAAATAGGATTCTTTCCCCTTAGGGTTCTCTGAATTCTTTATAAAGATCCATTGAGAAAAAGAAACTGAACTAGTTCTTTCTTTACATCTATCCTCTTTTATTATGAAAAAGGACACTATTATTTGTCCTTCATCCCTGTTTTTAGAGACCTGAATAATGCTTTAATAGTAAGAGAATAGTGTGATTTATGTCTTCTTTCTCTAAAATAATTTCAAGATATGACAACAAGTATTGATCTTGGTTAATAATGAAAACTGTTTGATGATTATTCACTTGTCTGTTGGGATCTTTTGTGTACTAATTTAAAAATTGCTAGTTGTTATGAATAGGACACTGCAAATTTTACACATTACTCTCTAAGAAGTTACTATTTAAGAATATGACACATGGCAGAAAGCGACTTAAATCTCATATTTTTTGCTAATAAGCTAAGCAATATGCATGTTAATAAAATCATTATTTGAAATATAAAAGGAAATAGCTAGAAGCTTGGGTAAAAATTTCCATTTTTTTCCGTTGTCATCACATTTGTTAATAGATATACTTGGAATAGTGTCTTCATAAGAGCAGTCTTACTTGAATATAACATGAAACTATTGAATAAACATAAAATATTAAATTATTGTGTATTAATATATGATTAAATAATCAAATAAAATATGTCTTGATATTTTTTAAACTGACTTTGATCATACTAATTTCAGTGACAGAAAGTTTACCTATAAATTTGGAAATGTGTATGGCAATGAAATTTTAAATACTGTATTTTTTGACCATATGCTCTAATAAACTGTTATTGTATATGATATACTGCTTATTGAATATGTAAACAGTATTTTATTTTAAGCACAGGAGGCTTTCTTTCTGAACTAGATTGGAGCATTTCCATATTAAAATAATTAAAGGGAATGCAGCCAGTTAGCAGGGCAGGGATTCACTTAGATCATATCACTAATTTTAGCCTAGAGGTAAATTTGAAATTCAGAGATGAATATACTAGTTTTTTCTGTATCATTTCTTTTATTGTTGTCCTGGGTGGGGGTACATTGTGGCATTTACAAAAGTTCTTACAATCTATCAAATACATTGCAATTGAATTCACCCCCTCCACAGTTTTCCATTACCTCTCCCTCCACTCCTTGAATAGTTTTGGCAGATATCATTTTTCTGTTTACATATATGTGTACACAATATTGCACCATATTCACCCTCTTTCACCATTTCCCCCAGGCAGGACCTGTTTTGCCCTCCGGTTTTCTGATTTTGTATAAGAAAAAATTATGTTTGATTGTTTAAGATAGCTACAAGAGTAGTTTCCTTGTGGCCCTTCCTTGCAATGTGGATAGATAGATAGATGATAGATAGATAGATTGATCAATATTACAGCCCAATTTGGTTCATCTTTATTTTTTTTCTTTCTACCTTAGTTCCTTTCTTATGGTAGTTTCAAATGGTTTACAAGTTCTATGTTCATTTTTGTATGGAGAGTATATCAATCGTGTTCACCTTCTTAACTTCCTTCTTTTTTTTCTTTTTCTTTTTTCTCCTTTTATTTTATTGTTTCTACATTTACTTACATGTGTATACATTGTTTGTTCCACCCCTCCAACCCCCATTCCCCTGCTTCCAGGCAGAGTCTGTTCTTCCTTCTTATCCAATTTTGTTAAAGAGAAAGCATAAGAGATAATAAGAAAGACATATTATTTTTGCTAGTTTGGGATAAAGACAGCTATACAGAGAGATTCCTAGTATTTGCTTCCATGCACTTTTATATTGCAACCCACATTGGTTCATTTCTACCAGACCTCTTTGCTACTTCCTGGTCTTTTTCCCATAGTGGCCTCTGTCAATTTTAGATTACTTTATTTGCTCCTCAACAGGGAGCACATCAGCCACATTCAAGTTTTAGGTTTACTTTCCTTTCCGTTTCTCCCTTGTGTGTCCTCCCCTTAGTGTGTGACCTGCGTCCAATAAAATTACTGCACGTCTTAACTTCCTTTCTTTCACCTCCCCTTCTCAATTGTGACCTCCCTTAGTGTGACCTGTTTTTCATAGTGTTGCTGTATTTGTATTAAGTCTATGTTCCACATATGAGAGAAAACGTGACTTTTGGACTTCTGCACCTGGCTAACTTCACTAAAGATGTTGTTCTCTAGTTCCATCCATTTCCTGCAAATGATAAAATTTCATTTTTCTTTGTGGCTGAATAAAATTCCATTGTATATAAATGGATTTTCTTTATCCATTCATCTGTTGTGTGCCATCCTGGCTGTTTCCATGGCTTAGCTATTGTGAAGAATGCATGAAGAACACAGAAGAACACAAACAACAATAAATGTTGACAAGGATGTGAAGAGAAAAAAAACCCTCATACATTGCTGGTAGGAATGTAAATTAGTAGAACCACTATGGAAAACAGTATGGAGGCTCCTCAAAAAACTAAAAATAAAGCTGCCATATGATCCAGCAGTTCCACTCCTAGGGATATACTCAAACAATGTAAGTCAGGTTACAAGAAAAGCACCTGCACATCCATGCTTATTGCAGCATTATTCACAATAGCTAAGCTATGGAAACAGTGTGTGGTCTTATTCAGCTATTTAGAATCTTACTATGCTCTCTAGAAAGACAGGGCATAGCAGGAATATTTATCCACAAACATTGCCTTCAGTCTATGAAGATAATGTACTTCATTATAGAAGATATATCATCAACATGTAGAATGTTGATAAAATTTATATGCAGTGAAACACATATATCATAAATGCATTGTTCGATGAGTTTTGACAAATATGCACTTCTGTGTAACTATTCCAATATAATGATACAGAATTTTACAATTATTCCACAAAATTTCCAATGATGCTGCATAATCTGTAATTCTCTTTCCCCTTAATCTGAGAAATAATTTTCCCCCACATATTTGTTTTTCACGTACCATTTTGTGTGAAGCTTCTTCAGTTCTCTTTCATCCATGGTTTTCTGTGCATTTGCAATATTTTCTTTGGTATTGCTGAATCGAACACCATTTTTTGAATATTCCATACTTGAGCTGTTTTCCTGTTGATGAACACCTGGCCACTGTAAGGTTTGGGGCTTTTACAAATAAAATTGCTATGGACATCCCTGTAAAAGTCTGTCTGCATGCTATGCATTCATTTCTCTTGGATACTAAGGAATGGAGTACCTGCAGCAGGTTGTGTTCTTTCACATTTTCTCCAGCATGAGAGCTGAATTTGTATTTTTGATTTTTAACACCATTTTGTGGACTTGTTGGCTATTTATAAATTTTCCTTTTAATTTTGCACAGTACTTTATATTGAGATGAATTTTCACTATGAATTCTAGTTCTTCTTTTGGCTATATTTGCCTTTTTTTTCTACAACTTCATATTAAGTGGAATTAGGCAACACTTGTTTGCGTCTAGCTTCTTTCATTCAGCCTATGTTTTTGAAATTCATTCACTTTTTATGTATCAGTAGTAAATTCCCTTTTTATTGAAAAGTAGTGTTTCATTGTATAAATATTACCAATCCATTGAGAGATATATGGTTTGATTCCAGTCTGGGGCTACTATGAATAAAGCAGTAAGGAAAATTCTTATACAAGGTTTTGAAAGACTGCTGTCTTTTAAGTAAATTTATAGGAATATAGTTGCTGCATTCTAGTTACATGTGTTAAAATTCTCCTTGTAAGGCCTTCATCAAGTATTTTATAAGTATATTCACCCCAGCCCATGACTTGTGCATTCATGTTTAACAGTGGCTTTGACCCATGAACCTCCTGATCTCTGCTTCCTGAGTAGCTAGAGTTACAGGTGTGAGCCACTGGCACCTGGCAACAATATCTTTTGATAAGCATGAGTTTTCAACTTTTGTAACGTCTGTCTTTTTTGTTTGTTTTCCTTTCTGGTTATTGATTTCTGCTTAATGCTTAGAAAATGTTTGCTCAGCCCTAAGTCACAAAGATTTTCTGTCATTTTTTTTTTTTAGAAGCTTTATAACTGTAAATCTTTACATAATGTGATTTATCTTTAATTAGTTGTTGGATTATTGTATAGTAGGAAATGGTTTTTCCAGAAGAATGTCTGACACTAGATTTTTTTAAAAACATTTCATAATAACACTTAAAATCATGTATTTAAGTCCCCTATATTTCATATTAGAGTTAATAAAACTAAAAAATTGAGTATATGCTTATGCTCAGGGTTGCATTGAATCTATAGATCAATTTGGGGAGATATGGCATGGAATAATATTGAGTCATCTGATCTATGCTCATTTGTACCATTCTTTATATTTTTTAAGTTTCTGAAATAACAGTATCATATTTAGTGCATACAGAGATCACGTGGTTATTGCTAAACTTATTGCCCAGGATTTTTCACTATTATAAATAAAATCACTTATTTTAATTACATTTTCTTATTTCCTGATAGTACAAAAAACACCTATTTAAAATATATCTTTAGTGTCTTGCAACCTTCCTAAATTCATTTACTAGTTTTAAGATTTTTAAAAGTTAGGATTTTCTACCTACAAGTTATTTCAATACAGATAATTTTATCCTTTTGTTTACCAACATTGCACCCTTTTCTTTCCTTTTTTATTAATTTGCTGTGATGGATTGGGCTAAAAGAACAGTGTTGAATAGACTTGCTGAGAGGAGACATCCTTGTCTTTTTTCATATCACTAGGAAAGCATTAAGTATTTTACTAATAAGGCTGGAGGATTGGCTTGAGAAAGCATCTGCCTAGTAAGCATGAGGCCCCGAGTCAAACCTCAAATACCACAAAAAATTGCTGACAAATATATTAACTTGATTTTTAAAAATAGTCTCGTCATACTGAGAAAGTTTCCTTATATTTCTAATTTACTGTTTTTATTTTTTATCATGAAGTGGTACTAAACTTTGCAAGTACTTTTTTGCCTCTATTTTAATATTTTTTCTCCTTTACTCTGTTAAAATGATAGATTATAGTGGTTGATTTTCTATCATAAACAAACTTTTCATTTGTGGATAAACCTCAGATAAGATGAATTGTCATTTATGTATGTGGATGGATTGATTTTCTAAAATTTTGTTAAGAAAATTTTTATTTCTATTCATGAAGGACACTAGCCTTTTTCATGACTTACTGTTGGTGCTTTCGTTGCTCATAAAACAAGTTAGGAAATGATTTTTTTTCTCTTCTATTTTCTAAGTGTTTTTTTAAAATTGATGGTTTTCTTCCTTAAATTATTGAAGTTGCCAGAAATATTTTTTTCATCCTTAAATATTTGAATTAATCAGTGTTTTATGGGGGGGTTGTTTCTGTTTAATAATTCAAATACCTGAATAAAGAACTATTCATATTTTTCTACTTTATCTACTTTTATGTTAGTTTTATTGTTATAATTTTCAAGGAATTTGTCCTTTTCTTCTAAACTGCTAAAATATATTGTCATAGAGCTACTCTTAACATTCCCTTATCCTTTTAGTTTCTGTAGGATTTATAGTAATCTCTTTCCATTCCTTCCTGTAACTGGTAATTCGGTTTTGGTTCATTGTCCTTTTTGTGTGAGAAGGTTCATTAAGAGTTTAATGATTTTGGTGCTATGTTAAAAGAAATATTTTTTGCCTTAAGGTTCTCTATTATTTACCTTTTTTTAATTTATTTTCAATTTTTGGACTTTTCGTAAATATTCTCTTCTGTCTACTTAGTGTATCTTTATTTTATCTTCTGTATTTTGTTCCTCTCTTTCCTCTTATAAATAGGAAACTTTAGGCCATTTATTATATATCTTTCTTCTTTCTATTAAGAACACTTAAACATAATTTTTTGCTAACCATTATTGCATTCCTTAAATTTTTATATATATTTTCATTTATATATACTGAAATATTTATATTTTCTTTGAGATGCATGACATTAGAAGTATATTTTCCTTTCATTGTCAAATAATTGGTGTTGTGCTGAATGTCTTTTAAATACTTTCATGCCACATAATTATGTGTGAATTATTTGTGAGATACTTCTAAGATAATTTCAAAGGCTTAGTAAAACTATAAATATATAAGAAAGATCCTTAATTATACTTTTGATTCATTTCAGCGGGTCACTGTGGAATTCCAGAACTCATTGTGAATGGCCAAGTCATTGGAGAAAATTATGGATACAGAGACACAGTTGTCTATCAGTGCAATCCTGGTTTTCGATTGATTGGTTCTTCAGTGAGAATATGTCAACAAGATCACAATTGGTCTGGCCAGCTCCCATCTTGTGTGCGTAAGTAAGCATGACAAAAGAAATTTTAAAATGGTGGTCTCACAGAATGACCAATAATTTTGGCCATATTTATGTAAGCAAGAATAGTAATTTCATTTACATGTTATATATAAACTAAAATTCTATTTTCTGTCCTTTTATACTGCTGTGGAACATGTCTTTAAAGTGGTGTGTGTTTGGGAGCATATAAAAACCATCCAGTAGGAAGAAAATTCTCAAATTTCTGTTTGTATTTTCTTACAAAGACAAAAAAATGGGCATAGTTCTATGTGCCTGCATCCTAGTACTTGATGCAGAGTCACGAGGACAGTGAATTTGAGGCCAGCCTGGGCTGGATAGCAAAACCCTCATTCAAAAAAAAGAAAAGAAAAGAAGAAATGACACAGAATAGAATCATAAATTATCACATGCTATTCTTTCTAAAAGAGATTAAAATTAAATTTGTCTCCTTTGTACTTACTGAATAATATTTATAAATGAATATTTATATATAGAAGTTATTTTACCCACACATTTTAATTATAAGGATTTCAATTTTGTGATGCTGGTATTCAACAATATTAACATTCTAGTGGTATGATACAACAAAGATTTTTATAGTAGAAAACTCTTCTAATAAATGCTTTCTAATGATTAGGATGCTATAGATATCACATTGAATTATACCTTGATAAAATATAATTCACGGGGAAAAAATCATCAGACATGACATGAAAAACCATTGTTCTCATTTTAGTTCCACTGCTAATTATGTGAGCTAATGCAATTCATTTACTGCCTCTGGACACTAATTCCTTCATAAAAGAAGTAAATAGTTAAAAGTGTTTATCATTATGGCCCCTTTAACTTCAAAATCCATAATATTCTTACATGCATCAAAATTACATATGTGTAATTAATGTAGCTATATCTTGCTATCAATGGTTAGGTGAAATGTTTAAAAAATATTTAAAGGAATATTTCCATTGCTTTTAAATTATACAAAACTGCATAATTGCATGCACTTTTAGAATTATTTCAATGAAAGTTCTTGAAATTTCAACAAATATCCATATGATCTTTTAAGGTAATTTAGATACGAATTCCTATGTGAAAAAAAAAAGGTCTGTTTTCAAATACTACTCTTTTTTTTGTTACACTAAACATTTTATTTTTTCAATTGTTCATTATTCACATGTGCATACATTGTTTGGGTCATTTCTCCCCCCTGCCCCCTTCTGCACCCTCTCCTCCCCTCCCCCCACTTCCAGGCAGATCCTGTTCTGCCCTTATCACTAATTTTGTTGAAGAAAAGACACAAGCATAATAAGAAAGACAAAGAGTTTTTGCTAGTTAAGCATAGCTATACAAAAATAGTCCTAGCACTGCTTACGTGTACACATGTGTTACAATCCAAGTCAGACTACCAGTTGTGAAACACAATGAGGTGTAGAGCTTTGCTTTGCTTTTGCTTTTACCAATAAGGACTTTCTGGAAACCTCCTGTGTTTGACAACTTCACTCCCATGGATTCTTTGTCCCCAAGGAGATTCCATCACTCTCCTGGCACTCTCTGCAGCCAGATTGCTGGAGAATGAGTGGAGTCCACCAATCAATTTACTTGTCTGTACTCTCTCTGGCAGTGAGAATATTAGGAAAAGAACACTCCCATGGAATCTGTTTTTCTATTGAGCAGGACAGTGAGGCCTTCTGGCTTGGGTGCATTGTATATTTATCAGGACTGCTATTGTACATAAATAAATGGATAACTGAATAAAGATAATATAACATATTTAATTAGAATTAGAATTTAATTAGAATTATTTTATTGCTCTACTTATTCTCAGAAATACAAAATTTTTCAGATCACAGTTTACCCAATTTTGAACGTTATAATCAGTCATCCTTTTTTCTCCTAAAATGTCCATCCCCAAATACATTTACATTAGAATTCTTATTTAATAAATACAATAAATTCTGCAAATATGTTTTAAGTATCACATATTAGAATAATAGATGAAGATTTTGATACTTCAGAGAAATGATATGTTTTTTTTAATATGAATCCACAGGAAGTATTTTACTTAATCTATTACTAATTGAACTCACATTTACAAATCCTATCATTGTCAAATTTTTATCCAATCATGAGAAATTTATTAGTTGGAAACCTAATTTCATGGAAAATATTTTTGTATATTCTGATAATAGGATAATAGGACATATAGTTAATGATTAAAATCATTTTTCTAAGACATGACAGACACTCACACAAACACACACACACACTCATGTACACACCACTGATTATCTGATGTCTAAGAGACAACAATATTCTGCTTGAGTCTGTCCTCAATATTTTACTTTTCATTTATCTTCACACACAGCCAATTAATGCCATTGTTTTTCTTGTTGAGTAATTGAGACTATAAATGAGAATTTGCCATCAGGGTAAAATTAATTTCTTTACTGATAATTTTAAGCAAGAATAAGATGCAGTTAAATTTCCAAATAAGTAGGTTGACATTATCAGTGTAGTTGAAAAATAATTGCTCTTGGGTCATTTTGAAAGTACTAAGACAAACTGTGGTCTTTCATTGTGCCCAATTATGAAGCACTGTTACTGATGTCACTCTGATTAATAGGGTGATGTGATACAATAAAATAGTTCATAGAAATAAAGCATTTGGGGAAAGCTAGCACTACACAAAATTTATAGTAGGATCATAACATCCAAAGCATCTAAATAATTCATCTGAGAATATTATTCCAAGCAAAATTGTTTTAATTTATCAAATATCAATGGTGAAGGAAATAAACCAGTAAGATTGATTAGTTTGGAGAATGTTAACATTGGTATTTCAAAATATTAATGAGAATTCTAGTGTTGTCTCATGCATCATTTTCTATTGTCCACATTACTTGGTGACATTAACTTACTTTTCATGAGTGCTTCTGCTTATCAATCTATTATTTGTAAAAATTGATTGTCTCAGTATCAAAAGAGCTATTTCACAATTAAATAAAAAATCAAGTACCTTTAGTCCTGAAATTTAACCAAAAGCTGCTTCAGTTTAGTTCCTTGCTTACTGCTATTAGCTAGTGAAAGGAATCAGTCCCTGAATTTCTTTGAATTTCAGTTTCATTCCCTAAAAAACAAACAAACAAAAACCCAAAATGTAGGGGGAGAATGAAATAAGTACCATGAAACTTGAAACATCTATCTACCACTTAGATAAAATTATTTCAATTTAAATTAATTCACTATTTACTAATATATTCCTGTTAACTAATATACTGTTTCCATTATATCACTCAATTTTGTTTTTTTGCATTAGTAAAAGTACTTTAAATACATATCCACTTATAAAGTGGTATTTCTACTTTATTTGAAGTGATTAGTAATAATTGTCATGTGATAGTTGGTTACTAAATATTCTTTCTTTGTCCTTGTCACTCCCCAATGACATTAGCTGTAAGCTGCGGTCATCCTGGTAGTCCAATTTATGGAAGAACAAGTGGAAATGGGTTCAACTTTAATGATGTAGTAACATTCTCTTGCAATATTGGGTATCTTATGCAAGGGCCGACCAAGGCACAATGTCAAGCAAACAGACAGTGGAGTCATCCTCCACCTGTGTGCAGAGGTAAAGTCTGCTGTATTCCTGTTTGGGGCTGGTGATAATATGTCTGTGTAAGCATAGATGGCACAACTGAAACATCTTGGGCAGCACAGTAGAAAGTTTTAAATAATAAATAAAGCCCTTAATTTTGATGTTAACTTCATTATCAATACTTTCTTTTTTTCTTACATTGTTAACTTTTATTTTTAAAAGTCAAACTGCAAGGCTTTATTTCTGCTTCGCTTTATTATCTTGTATATATTAATGAGTTCATGTAAAATGGACTTAAGATCATTTTAATCTGCAGTTTGTTTCATAGTTAATGGAATTTAACATTCATTCATTTCTTTGTGTCTTTGAGAAAACTGTGATATTTGCATAAAGACTTATTTATTTTCTGTATAGAACCAGACTAAAGAGTTCTTTAGCAAATACTCATTTTGCAAGGAAATGTGATAGAATTCATAATGTCAAAAATTATCACTATGCTATATGTTTTGTTCTATGACTGACAATAACTTAATGGATATGATTCATTAAGTCTACATTCAGTATATGTCTATATTCAGTATATTCTTATAGAGTCACTAAAGTTAAAAAAAATGCCATTTTCCCCTTTTATCTGTATTTTCAACCACACAGATTTCAGTTATCTAGATTGTGCATGTATTACTCTTATCTCTGGAATCTTTCATTTATGTGATTAAACTTACCTCTGAAACTAATTTTTTAAGTTTTCAATAGAAATCTATGTATGTTATTCCAAAAATATCTTTTAAAATTTGTTATTTGTTTAGTGGTCAACTGCTCTGACCCTGGAATTCCAGCTAATTCCAAAAGGGAAAGCAAAATAGAACATGGAAATTTCACCTATGGCACTGTGGTATTCTATGACTGCAATCCTGGATATTTTTTATTTGGATCTTCAGTTTTGATATGTCAACCAAATGGACAATGGGATAAACCTTTACCAGAATGTATCAGTAAGTAGATAATGTGAATTGTTCCTTGAGAAAATGCTATAGGTGCATATGGATGTTTATTGTGTTTATGAAATAGTTAGAGCTATACTTCAGAGGGAAGCATATTGATTTAATTGATTTGAAACTATACTTCCACATATCCTGCAATTCAATCCACAAATATCATCTTTCTGTTTTTCTTTTTATTTATTTTTTCTATTATTGTGCTGGGTGAGGTTATATTGTGGCATTTACAAAGTTCTTACAATATATCAAATATATCTTGACATATTATATATTTATCATTATTTGATTTTGAACTTTGATAGAATAGACAAAATATGAAAAGCAAGTATCTTTCATGCCCTCTGATATTACTATTCCTTAGGAGGCAACTATACTTTTATTTTGAGTTAATATTTTAAATTTCATTTGATATAAATGTGCTACTTAAAACTTGTCGACCTTAAATATTTATGCTATGCAGACAAATGTTAAATGTAAAAATGTCAATACACACGTTTCAAGGCAGTGAGTACTGAATGAGAGCATTTTGTTACATGTTTATTAGGAGTTTAGAATGTAAATAAAATAAATTAAAGCCGAAATATATACAATTCACATGTTTAGGGAGAAAAATAACTGAAATCAAAATTTTGTGAAGACAGAACTGAATGTGAATTCTTGGGTTTCAGTCAATTGACAGGTCTCAAATTGAAAGATTCGGTGGTGAAGTTTGAACATGATTGAGAAGAGAAAAACGAGTGAAGGATTAGTGTCTCAAGAAATCATTGCACAAGTAATTTTTGTCACACAAAATTACAAAATTATTTTATGATCATATTTTATTTAGGGCATTTCTTTATATCCATGAGTTGGATTTTTACAAAATTTTGTGACAACATGCATGTACTAACAAAAAACAAAAGTTTTTACCATGTGCACAAAATTTGTCTCTGTAAATAATTCAGTGCATTGGCCTGCTGATTAAGTATCATTTAACTTCTATTAGTAGACTTACCTAATTTGAAGAATTTTCTTAGTTGGTCTTGTGCAGCTATATCCTGAAAGGTAAAAATCATTTTGTAGGGCATGCAGACCTCAGGTTTCCTTGCTTCTCATAGACTTTTCCTTTCCATCTCCTACAACATTCCCCCTGGAGTTTAATGAACACTTAATAGTTCTATTAAGTGTATGTCTTCTTCTGAGCAGTTTGATACCCTAGAAATACATGGCATGATATATTTTTCTAAATACAATTAACAAAAAGCACATATTAATTTCCCAAGCTATCTCTAGCTTATAAAATTATCCTACAATTTTTTGCCTTGTGATTCTGCTGTGCTTAGCAGCACATTAGATGGCAAGCCACTAAATATCTTCTTTGTATAACATACCTAGAATAGAATGATTCTACACTCTTAACTTAGATTGTGAAGCACAGATTTATCTTCATTCCATCTTCCTCACTTTCACAGTTCTTCCCTTTTAACTTCTGTTTGGCCTCACTTTGAATTCCAATTTATTTCCTATGTTCTTATTTGGTCACCCTATCTCTCTCTCCTCTTTGTACCCGGTATACCCGTGTTCAGGTGCATATGTACCTATGCACATATGCATATGGGCAGTCCCTCACCATGCCACATACAGACTTATTATAATTACAGTTTTATCTCATATGTTCCTATAAAACTCACCTTCAGGTTAAATGGGTTGACTCAATAGCCCTACAACTGCAAATTCCATTTATAACTGAGTTGGCTCAGGATGTTCGATAGGAGATATAAAAAAATTTTATATTCAAAAATTATGTATTGTAGTGATTGACTGTGGACACCCTGGCGTTCCTCCTAATGCAGTACTGTCTGGCGAGAAGTATACTTTTGGATCTACTGTTCACTATTCCTGCACAGGAAAGCGCTCCCTTTTAGGCCAGTCATCACGGACTTGCCAGTTAAATGGCCATTGGAGTGGATCACAGCCTCATTGTTCAGGTAAAGACATAACAGATTCTCTTTTAAAATCTCATGAGAAAAGCTAAAACATTAATTATATACTTACTGGAATACGTCTAAGGTAATGTAAATTCAGAGGAAAATAAACATTGATATTTGAGATGGTAAATTACCCGTGTACATTTTGAACTCTGTTGTGTCTAATGTAATAAATTATGGGATTTTATAATGCTACCATGTGTGAAGCACTCTTATTCATGACAATGGTGAAACTGCTCAAGAGAAAGTAGTTATTCTTTTTTAGTAGATATCAAATACATTGTTTCTCAAAAGGCAATGTAATGTTATATCAATTCTTTTTATCCTTTTTTCTCCTTCTTTCCTTCCTTTTTGTGGTACTGTGTATTGAACTCAGAGCCATAAACACTTGATGGACAAGTACTCTACCACTTGGGCTTAGCTTTTTTTGTTTTCACTTTGTTTTTGAGATAGCAACTCACTAACTTGCCTAAAGTTGGCCTCAAACTCCTATCCTGCCTCTGCTTCCTAAGTAGCTGGGAATACAGGTGTACTCATCAACATCCACTACAAACGTGATTTTCTGTCACTTCTCACTTCTAATTTTCTAAGTAATTGTTTCACTACATAATGTAAACATAAAGTCTTAAGTGTTTTAAATTGAACTAAACTATTGAGACCTATAAAAGATACTTATTTATCCTAAATTTATAAATTATTAATAGCTAGCATACAACTCTGAGTCCTTATAACCCAATAGTTATCTTTAGATGAATAAATGTTAAAGCTATCTTAAATTAATAATCTGTTGGCAGCATGCTTGATAAATGTTTTCTAAGATGTTTTGAAGATATTTCTTCAAAAATATTTGTTTTAGATCTAAGATTGTTCCCTAGTGGATACTACTTACTTTTACACACTAACTAAATATGGTGCTTAATTTTCTGCATTTTCTTTTTATTTATATATTGTTCATTATTTGTGTGTTATTTTATTTTGTAGAGATCATTCCAATAACCAATTAGTAGTTGTTTTTATTGTTTTTTCTTTTGAGGTGAAACTTGTAAATTACTGTTTAGTCTCCAACTCCTATGAATACTGATTAATCTCTTTGAAGTGACTGCTTGGGATTTCAAATTTAATCTACATATTTGAAAGTCTATCAGTTTAATGAGACTTTAAAAATAATTTTCCTAAAAATTTATGTCTTTCCTTTGAGTAACTCATAGTAAATTCATTCTCAGATGACTGATTATACATACAACCCTCCCCCAGCCATTAGCAAATTGCTACTGAATTGCAAAAAAATGTACATAGGTATTTAAATGTGAAGTTTGGTCTTAAATTTTTGTGTTATTAATATACATCACAAGAAAATAAGGTATATATGATTCCAAATATTTAGAACATTTGAGAAATCACCTAGAAAGGAAATATTTTCAATGCCAGTTTTAAGTAATAATGTCAGTTATAAGTTTTCTATTAGCTGGTTATTAACTAGGTATTGGAAATATTAATGAAGTGTCTATAACCATATTCTGCAAATATTTTCCTTTTTATTTATGCTTTTTTTTCTTATGAACTAGGATCAAATAGGAAATATGAATTATATTTGTTCTCAGTCAATTTATGTTAAAACAGTGTGAACAAAGATAAATGCATGCTAGATTATTGGTATAGATCATGAATTTAACAAATGTTTGTTGAAATAAATGAACTTGAGCTTTATTGCTTTATAGGTGATGCTACCGGTACATGTGGGGATCCAGGAACTCCTGGTCATGGTTCAAGACAGGACAGTGATTTCAGAACTAAAAGTACTGTGCGCTTTGCTTGTGATACTGGTTACATTCTTCATGGCTCAGAAGAAAGAACATGCTTAGCCAACGGCAGTTGGACTGGAAGGCAGCCAGAATGCAAAGGTAATCTCATGCAGAAACTTAATGTATTGAGAGTGCTTGTGCTGATTAGCTCTGATGGGTGTATTTGATTAAGAGATGCCTAGGAGATCAGTATAGTGCAACTCTGAGTGTACTTGTGAGTTTGTTTCTAGAAATGATTCAGTTGTGAGGGCTCTGACCTAATCAATATTTCAATCAATGGAGTAGACTATTGAGTTGTAATGGAACTGTGGAAGGTAGGGACTGACTGTAGGAAATGGTCACAGGAGTCATGACTTGAAGGGTTTGTCTTGGTCCTGGTCTCTTCCTGTTCCTCCACTTTGCCTCCTAGCCATCACAAAGTGAGCAGTTTTGATCTGCTATGCATTCCTGCTACAGTGATGTTTTCCCTCATAACAGGCCTATTTCAATGGAGAAAGCAGTCATCGACTTTAACTTATGAAACTGTGAGCCAAAAAAATCCTTCCTTTTAACTTATTTCTGTTAGGTATTTTGTCACAGTGACAAGATGCTGATAAAAACACTGTTGTAATTTAATTCATGTCTAAATTCAATGGGTTACTAAGAAGAAAACTATTCTTACCCTTCCCTCAATGAAGAAAAAAAGAAATATTTCAGTTTTACTGACACTATGATAGAACTGTGACAAATAATAATTATATTTTAAAAATCTCATTGGTCATTTGTATACAAAGATGGTTCACAATCTAGCAATAATTTATTTTGAAAATGTTTTAAAATGTTGTTAAAACATTTATTCTGGTTATGCTCATTCCTGTAATCCAAAGTACTTTGGGAAGTGGAGATATAGAGGAACAAGGTTTGAGCTCAGCCTGGGCAAAAATTTAACAGACCCCATCTCAACAAACAAAGCTTGATTTGGTAGCTCGCACTATAATCCCTGCTATGTGGGAGGCATAGATTGAAGGATCATGGTACAATATAGGCTGGGACAAAAGCAAGAGACCCTATCTGAAAAATAAACTAAGGTAAAAACTGGGGTATGTCTCAAACAGTAGAACTCTTACCTAACAAGTGCCAAGACCCTGAGTTCAAAATCCAGTATGGAAAAAAAAAAGAAAAAAGGCTTATTTTTGTACACTTTATTTATATTGTAGATGATCAGGAAAAACAAACTGTTGTTATATGAATGTGATGTCAGTATCTGTTTTACCTTGTAAGTTTGTAAAAATGGAAAAATATACAAAGATACCCAAGGAACAATTTTATTTATAGTGTCCAATTACTCGTTACTGTAATGGATAAGTTAAGGGTATTTGAGTCAAATGGTTAATTATTCTTATTAACTCAGGATGAACATAATTATGCCCTTACAAGATTTGCTAGAAAGTGTAGTTGGAAAATTATCCTTGTGATTTAAATTGTCCTTTTCATGATTATTTTATTTCAGAAACTAAACTTGCAAGGTTATTTATAAAACTTGAAGTTGTACTAAACATATTGCTTTAAAAACAGGAAATGATTCCCAAAAGAATATTCTTGAGTTTTTTGATTGGCTATATTATAGAAATACATTTATTATAGTTTAAGATTAGCATTTATATTTTAGAAAAATAGACAAATTTTAAAAATTGGACCAATTCTAATAATCTTTTAAAAATTTATTAATGTGTATTAACAGTGTAGGGGATTTCATTGTGATATCTCCATAGATACACCTAGCATAGTTTGAATAGGTTCACTCCCTTTATTATATTCCCTTAAATACTCTCCTTTCTCCCCTATTTTTAAAACAGTAGTTGGTGGGTTTCATTATGCTAACTTCATAGATAGGTAGGTAGGTAGATAGATAGATAGATTGATTAACTGATAGATGACATAGATAGATACAGATATGTAACACACTTCATTACAACTCAGTTGATATAAGGAGAAGAGATGGAGAAAACAGTTACTGAACAAAACACAGTAATGCAGACTAAACTTTTCACTTTATTTTGCAAACTTGTTTTCTGAAGTCAAGTTTCTATAGTGGTATTGTAAGTCAAATTACAAATGTACTATAATACATGAGTGATATCTAAGTTCATCCTTTGTTCAACTTATATACAAAATATTTCATACATGAAATGCAGACTGCTCTTGGCATTGTTTTGCTGGCATGTCCATATGGATCACAGGAGAATTATCAACTATATCAAATATAATAGAAATATAGTATTTGCATAGAGTTCATGCATATCACTTAGGAAAACATATTCCAGTGGATGAAAGGACATCGAATGTGAACAACAATACAGAAAACCAAAAACATCAACAGAACAAAACAGAAACCACAAAATCCAACTTTAAATATTTAAAGTTCCTAAAGACTCCACCAGAAGACACTTAGATCTAATGAACATTTTTGCCAAAATAGCTGGATGCAAAATCAACATACAAAAATCTGTAGGCAACAACTAACATACCGAAAAAGAAAGTCAGGATCGCAATCTTATTAAATAGCCTCAAACATGTTAAAAACTTCTAACAGCAAAGGCTGGACACATTGAAGAAAAGTGTTGTAGATGACAGTAGAAGATGGAAAGGCTACCCATGTTCATGGATCAGCAGAATTAATGTTGGGAAAATGGCCATATTATTAAAAGTGATCTACAAATTCAATGAAATCCCCTTCAAAATTCCAATGACATCATTTACAAACACAGAAAAATCAATCTAAACATTTGTATGGAAACACAATAAACCCCTAATACTCAAAGCAATCCTGAGCAAAAAGAACAATGCTGACTCAAAACCTGACTGCAAACTATGTTACAGAGCCATAGTGACAAAGATTGCATGGTACTGCCACAAAACAGAATGTGGACCAAGGCAATAGAATAAAATATCCAGAAGTAAGCCTAAACTGGTGCTGCCATCTGGTGTTGACAAGGGTCCGCCAAACACACCTTAGAATAAAACAACCTCTTCAACAAATGGTTCAGGGAAACTGGATATTCACATCTAGAACACCGAAACTAGAACCCTATCATTCACTCTAGACAAAAATCAACTCAAAATGAATCAAAAGAATTAATATAAGACCTGAAATTTTGAAACTACTGGAGGGGAACATCAAGGAAATACTTAAATATCTAGGTACAATGACTTTTTGAATAGGACTGTTAATAGCTCAGGATGTAATTATTGACAAATGGGATTGCATCAAACTACAAGGCTTCTTCAGAGGAAAAGAAACAATCAACAGAAAGAAGAGACTACCTACAGAATGGGAAAAAATATTTACCAGATACATTTGATAAGGGACATATTTCTAGGATATATTAATATGTATTTATTTGAAAAATATATAATCATTTGAAGAACTCCAAAAAAACACCAAAAGTGCAGAACTGTACAGGCATTTTTCAAATGAAGAAGTACAAACCTCCAACAAATACATGAAAAATGTTCAACATCCTTTGCCGTCAGGGAAATGAAAATCAAAAGTACATTATGATTCTCTCTCATCCCAGCCAGAATGGCTATCATCAAAAATGGTTACAATGCGGGGCATGGGAAGGAACCCTTTTACGCTCTATTGGAAATGTCAATTAGTCCAGCTACTATAAAAATCAGTACGGAGGTTCATCAGAGTATTGAGCAGAGAATTTCCGTATGATCCAGGCATTCCACTTCTGGGTATGTTCCCAAAAAAACCAAAATCAGCTCACTGTAGAGATACCTGCATACCTATGTTTATAACACTATTCCAAGTTATGGAATCAAACCATGTGATCATCATGGGTGAATGGAAAAAATGTGGTTCACATACACAATGGATTTTTAGTTAGGTATAAAGGAGAATGGAATTATGTCGTTGACAAGAAAATGGGTGGAAATGGAGATCATTATGTTAAGAGAAATAAGATAGTACCACAAAGACAAGCATTGCATGGTTTCTGTCATATGCGGAATCTAGGAAAAAGAAAAGGATATGAAGTAAGAGGGAGGCTTACAAAGATGTGGAAGAGGATGAGGAAAAGGGGTGGGGGGATTAGAAAGAGTAATAGAGGGTCATATGTGATCAAAGTAGATTTTATGCATGTCTGGAAATATCATACAAAGTGCTTTGCATTGTAAAACTAGCATATGCTAACAAAAGACATTTCAAGGTGATTTTTATTATTATACTTGAGAATAATTTGAGAAAATACGTAAACATTCATAAGATGTTATCTATATTTTGATCTATTTCTCCACTTCTGAAGAGATTTTTTCTTTTTTTTTTTTTTTGAGATTTTTTCTTAAAGAGAATAAAATTTTACAAGAAAACATAATCATGAAATGTAATTTTACATTTTTAATTTTTAGCTACTGGTAATTAGAAACAATTATACTACAAGACATTACATAATAAATTATATGCTTACATAATATAGCATTGCCTAAATTATCCAACTATTATCACTGTCTACGAGTCAAACAGAGAAAATGAACACCATATATATTTGAGCTAAAATAAGATTAAATAATGCATTTTATTAGAACTACAGGGAATGTTATTCACATAAAAGAAACTTTGAAAAAAGTGCACAAAATGACAATGAGATGGAGTTGTGAAAGTATTTTTATTCTCTTTAATCCAAACGCTTTGTAGTTACACTATTATTTAGTTTACAATTACATATAAAGTTTTAACAGAATATTAAGCATTAAGCACATTTAAACATAAAATTATCTAGTAATCTTTGAAATTAATTAATTTAACCACTGAATTGAGAAATACAAAATTAAAGGATATAGCATTCTTAACAAATTGCCAAGATTTAAAAATATGGCAAATTGAATTATAGAGGATGTATGAATACAAGCAAAGTTTTACAATGTAATAGATATGCAAATTGTTGAAATATTTTTATATATTGTATTGAAATATACCTTAAAAAATTTAAAGATTTTTTTAATTAAAGTGAGTCAGAAATTGCACTTTCTGGTATTTGTTGTAAAAATAAGATGGATGTAAAGAGTTGTACATATGTTAGATTATATGTGACAGAAGAACAAAGAGCACTGAACTAAATTTAGTTAATCAATGTTTATCAATACAGAAGTGGGTAGGTAAATTATGAATATATACACAGGGAAAACTGGCCAGTTTCTAAACTTTATGTCTGAACATGGCCTAATTGTAATGCTACATAAACTATATATTTATATATATATACACATGCATTTAGGTATATGCAATTATTTTGTCAGATCTTATATTTTGGTGATGGGCTTAATTATCTTTATTTTTTCCTTGTATATTCATGTAATTTTGGACATAATAAGAGAAGCTACTTTGATAAAAAGAACAAAATATGGTACAGTAACTTTAAGATTGTAATTTTCTGTAACAATAATGAAAGGTAAACATGTACAATTATACTTTATATTAAGCATCTAATAAAATACTTAATTGACAAACATGTATTATGTTTATCATTTACTAGCCTGAATATGATACAACACTTTCATTATATGCTATCAGAATCACCACATGGTATTTATACTGATGAACAATCTGTCATTACCTAACTGTGACTGGGCAAGCTATTCACATTGTCTATGCCTCAGTTCTGTAGGAAGAAATTGTCTTGGTATTAATAACAACTCATAACATTGTTGTGAGGATTGAATACTGAAGAGTTGTGGATGTCACATAGTAAGTGCTCAATGAACATTAGCTATCATATTTTTAGATTAGATCTACTGCCTGGTAGGACATGACTCCTGTGAGGAAAGATGGTTTTGTTAGCCTGTGCTAACTATAAGGAGGGCCTTGTTCACAAGTGGCAATAAAACCCTTTCCCTTCAAATCTCAATATCATGGAGACAAAGTAGTGCTACCTCTCTTATTTGTGTCCACCCAAGCTGTCAGTCTTCCCTAATCATAGATGATACATTTAACTTTTTTCATTTTAATTTAATTTTATTTGTGTTTATTTCAAACACAATTTTTTTTTTAAAATAGGAGAATTCTTGTGTAGTAGGTGCAGGGATGTTAAAGACAAGAGAACAGGAATGACATTATAATTGAAAAGACAGTACCTTGAAACCACCATGACTAAAGGAATTCTTGGTTTTTTATTGTGCAGAAATTTTACTGGGCCTGGCTCCCTATTTAAAAATACCAATTATATGACATTTTAAAGCATGTCTAACACTCCATGAAATACTTCTTGCATTGTGTGAAGGGTCATTAGACATGACAAGTATGGTGAGAGCTTTATTTTTGAAGTGGGTTATTACCCTTGACAAAAAGTAAAAATGTCCACTGTACCATAGGTTTTGCTGAAAATACTTATCTGGAGTTTGATCTTTGGGTAGGTATATAAAATGTAAAGATTCTTGTCTTCATGTGCACACCCACGTAAAGCAAATTAAACACAAACTGAAACATAAATGACACATACAATGACAGGCAAATGAAATATTTAGGAATCCACAAGGGAAAATTTCATTTTCTGACATTATAATCATATTTCATGTTTATAAAGCTAACTTTAAGTTCTGTCAAGTACTAAAATGCCTTCTAATAGTACCATAAAATTATGTTCAATTCAGGATTACTTTTATATTATTTAAAAAATTCACTTATGGCATGGATGGCAAATGATTAAGCTTATTTACCTAATCGTTAATTGAAAGACATCTGTGTTGATGACTGCTGTTTAGGTTACACAGAAAACTTAGTGAAAGCTATCATTAGAATTCAGTAACTTTGTTTTTATCAGTTTATGTTTTGTATTGCTTGGCCCAGAAATAGAAGTTATAATTTTTTAATGCAAATCACTTATGTATTTATTCAAAATATTTACAATGCTTATAATCTTTAAATTGCGTATTTTATATTCACCTTCTTAGAATTATAAGTACAATAAATCTCTATTGCATTTTATTGTTACTACATGTATTCTAATTTTACATGAATTGCTCTTAGGCAACAATTCTTACAATCCTTCTCAGAGAGATGTTGTGGTATACAATAGCAATATTCCTCAAATAATTACTTTACTTTGTAAAGTTTTTAATGAAAATACCAACAACAATCTTAAAAATTATGTTATGATTTTCATCCCAGTAATTAAGCTAACACAATCAACATAAATTTGAATTTCAACTCTAAAAGATATTTCTCTGTTTGTTTTAGAGGATTTTATTCCTTATCTATAATTTGACAGGATCATTTAGTCATTATGTGAAAAGATTACTTTTTTAATTTTAATTTTATTTTTTGGTGGGATTAGGGCTTTGTGCTTGCAAAGCAGGTGCTCTATTGCTTGAGCCACACTTTCAGTACATCTTAGTGTGATTATTTTCGAGATGGGGGTCTCATTAACTATTTGCCTTGGTTGGCATCAAACCACAATCCTCCAGGTCTCAGTCACCCACATAGCTAGGATTAGAGGTGTGAGTTACTTTGCCCGGCACTGAAAAGATTTCTAATTGCATTATCTTTATAAATAGTCTTAAACATTTTTTGTAGCTGTACAGTGTGGTAATCCAGGAACAACAGCCAATGGAAAAGTCTTTAGAATTGATGGCACAACATTTTCCAGTTCAGTCATTTATTCCTGCATGGAAGGATATATCCTTTCTGGTCCTTCAGTTAGACAGTGCACCGCCAATGGAACATGGTCTGGAAATTTGCCTAACTGTACAAGTAAGTTTCTTCTCAATATTTAAAAATTATTATCTATGTGAAAATATTTATGAGTATATAAATGTGTGTGTTATAACTAATAAAATTATACAAGGTTTTGAATCTTTATAATGCCTTTCAGATTAAAAGTAGTATTATGGTTAGATTGTACACTAATGATATAAATAATTAGTTGGTACAGGAGGGTGAATATAGTGGAAATATTATGTACACATATGTAAGTGAAAAAATTAGACCTGTTGAAACTATTCCAGGAGTTGGGGAAGTAGTGATAAAAGAGAAAGAGGGGATGAGTTCAACTATGATATATTGTAAGAACTTTTGTAAATGTCACATTTATCTGTAGTACAACAATAATAAAAAATAAACATTTTTCTAGAAACAATGAATTAGTTGACTTATCCAAGTACTATATTAGGAAAAAGAGATCATAGAAAATCACTACTAAATATAATTTAATAGAATTTTAATAATATTGGTTATTTATCAGTAAAATATGAAGGATACAATTTTATTTTTTCCAATCTAAGACACATCAATAACCAGCTTCATTTTAAAAAGGTATACTAATTATTCATGAGTTTTGTGCTAATAAAGGAAGTTTTGATAGGTGGTTTGCTATGTTAAATTATTTAAATGAAATATATTAATGCCTATATATAGAATAAATTAAATTTAGTTCTAGAGATGCAACTTAGTGGTAGAGTGCTTGCCTAGCATATGTGAGGCCCTGGGTTTGAGTCCCAGCACTGAAAACAAAGAAGTATTTTACTAACAATAGTAATCCAGTAATTATAGCTGGAAAACTATGGTTGCTTATGTTTCATAAAAACTGCACAGTGTCAGTATAGTTTTAATGACTGCAATGAATGTATCACTCTAGTATGGGATGTTGATAGTGGGGGGAGGCTTGTCTGTATAGGGGCATGGAGGACTTGGGAAGTGCCCCATCTTGGGCAGTTTCCTTACAAGTTATTCTTTACAACCTGATCAGCGCTCTCAGGACTACTTGAGGAGTTACTCCCTATATCTACAGGGGTCTTTCTCTGTCAATGTTCTGTCTGGTACCCTGTCTAAAACACTGTCTGTATAGTCTTCTCCTGACAATTAAATTCATCCTCTCAACCCAGGGAGTCTGTTGGGCTCTGCATAGGTTCTTCTTTCCTTTGCCACAGCCTGGAAACTCAAAGGCAAAGAGAACGAGCAAGGATAGGACTCATCTAACATATTCCCTATCATTGAGCTTTGCCGACTAATTCATCACTTTTTCTTAAAGGCTTTTTGTATTATATTTAAAACCACAAAATATAAAAGGGATCAATCAACATATATCTTAGAAGTCCTTCCTAGAGTCTCAGTATTTAACAGTCATGGAGGTGGATGCTTTTTATTGCTCAGGCTACAGCACAGTTAAAGATCATTAGAGAATATTCTAGTTCTTAAAATTAAATCCAAGACCCTGAATATACCAAAATTGTACAAACATACTTTTACCACTTAACCACCAAAATGTCTCCAATTCAGATCAACAACAGCTTTAATTTTTGCTTTAACTCTTTCAAATTCTAAAAGCATCTGTACTGTCTTATCATAGGAGGAACAAGAATTTCAAATACCACACATTTTCCAAATTTGGTATTTCTTCATTTCTTCCTTGGTTTCAATTTCCAATTGTTCATCACCTGCTCTGCACCAACCATGTTCCTTAGTAGGACAACTTCAATAGGACATTTAAGCATTTTAGTCAATAAATTTGAATCCAAGTTCTGATCTCCCTTAAAATCTGACTTTATGTCTCTTTCCCCTTTTTTCTGTTTCCTTCTGTCTCTCCAGCATTCCCTGTCTCTGTCACTCTTTAGTCCTTCACTACTTCTCATAATCGTTAGGGAACATAGCATCAATCTTTTTCAGCTAAAGGAATCAGAATGAACCTGCCAAAATCCCACTGGGAACGGCATCCTTCAGCCCACTTGCTATCAGGGCTGATTGTCCACAATTTGCCAGTTTTCTGAGGAGCCACCTGGCTTTAAGTTGATGACTGGGACAAGGACTGTTCTTTGTTTTGTCCCTTGACACTCTGTTTAAGTGGGAACTGCCTTCGTTGCCTGAAACTGAGACTGAAGAAGTTAGTTTTTGGACTTGCCTTCTTTTTTTGAGTCACTGTTCTCCAGTTTCACGTAATCTTTCAGGGACATCTTTTAAGTTTACTGCTTACCTTTTATGCCCACACTGGACTAGCATCATGGCTGTGCAGAGATGGATTGCCTTCCCAAGCACCAACCTTCAGAATCTGCAGGGCACTCACGCAGGGAGGGAGCACCCTGAAATCATTACTTCAAAATCATTTTTTCCACACTTGTTTTTGACTTGGCTTATCCTTTTGGTTGTTTCCAAGGGAGGAAAAATTCTTCTCTGTCATTCTGTTTTGAAGGAAAACAAAAGTCCTCCCACTTGTTAGGAAAATGTCTTATTTTTGCAGTACTGAGAATTCTAACAGTTAACAAATATGAGTTACCATTTCTATACTACACTCTCCCAGGTGAGCCTTTAAAATTCTTACCCATCTTTTTTTTTCTTTTTATTTATTTATTTATTTTATTGATTTATTTTTTTTTTTATTTTTATTATTCATATGTGCATACAATATTGGGTCATTTCTCCCCCTGCCCCCACCCTCTCCCTTACCACCCACTCCGCCCCTTCCTTCTCCCCCCCACCTCCTCAATACTCTGCAGAAACTATTTTGCCCTTATAACTAATTTTGTTGAAGAGAGAATATAAGGAATAATAGGAAGAAACAAGGGTTTTTGCTAGTTGAGATAAGGATAGCTATACAGGGAGTTGACTCACATTGATTTCCTGTGCGTGTGTTTACCTTCTAGGTTAATTCTTTTTGATCTACCTTTTCTCTAGTTCCTGGTCCCCTTTTCCTATTGGCCTCAGTTGCTTTTAAGGTATCTGCTTTAGTTTCTCTGCGTTAAGGCAACAAATGCTAGCTAGTTTTTTAGGTGTCTTACCTATCCTCACCCCCCTTGTGTGCTCTCGCTTTTATCATGTGCTCAAAGTCCAATCCCCTTGTTGTGTTTGCCCTTGATCTAATGTCCACATATGAGGGAGAACATACGATTTTTGGTCTTTTGGGCCAGGCTAACCTCACTCAGAATGATGTTCTCCAATTCCATCCATTTACCAGCGAATGATACATTTCGTTCTTCTTCATGGCTGCATAAAATTCCATTGTGATAGATACCACATTTTCTTGATCCATTCGTCAGTAGTGGGGCATCTTGGCTGTTTCCATAACTTGGCTATTGTGAATAGTGCGCAATAAACATGGTGTGCAGGTGCCTCTGGAGTAACCTGTGTCAGTCTTTTGGGTATATCCCCAAGAGTGGTATTGCTGGATCAAATGGTAGATCAATGTTTAGTTTTTAAGTAGCCTCCAAATTTTTTTCCAGAGTGGTTGTACTAGTTACATTCCCACCAACAGTGTAAGAGGGTTCCTTTTTCCCCGCATCCTGCCAACACCTGTTGTTGGTGGTGTTGCTATGATGGCTATTCTAACAGGGGTGAGGTGGAATCTTAGTGTGGTTTTAATTTGCATTTCCTTTATTGCTAGAGATGGTGAGCATTTTTTCATGTGTTTTTGGCCATTTGAATTTCTTCTTTTGAGAAAGTTCTGTTTAGTTCACTTGCCCATTTCTTTATTGGTTCATTAGTTTTGGGAGAATTTAGTTTTTTAAGTTCCCTTATATTCTGGTTATCAGTCCTTTGTCTGATGTGTAGCTGGCAAATATTTTCTCCCACTCTGTGGGTGTTCTCTTCAGTTTAGAGACATTTCTTTTTGAGCAAGAAGCTTTTTAGTTTTATGAAGTCCCATTTATCTATGCTATCTCTTAGTTGCTGTGCTGCTGGGTTTCATTGAGAAAGTTCTTACCTATACCTACTAACTCCAGAGTATTTCCTACTCTTTCCTGTATCAACTTTAGAGTTTGGGTCTGATATTAAGATCCTTGATCCATTTTGAGTTAATCTTGGTATAGGGTGATATACATGGATCTAGTTTCAGTTTTTTGCAGACTGCTAACCAGTTTTCCCAGCAGTTTTTGTTGAAGAGGCTGCTATTTCTCCATCGTATATTTTTAGCTCCTTTGTCAAAGACAAGTTGTTATAGTTGTGTGGCTTCATATCTGGTCCTCTATTCTGTTCCACTGGTCTTCATGTCTGTTTTTGTGCCAGTACCATGCTGTTTTTATTGTTATTGTTGTAATATAGTTTGAAGTCAGGTATTGTGATACCTCCAGCATTGTTCTTTCGACTGAGTATTGCCTTGGCTATTCGTGGCCTCTTGTGTTTCCATATAAATTTAACGGTAGATTTTTCAATCTCTTTAATGAATGTCATTGGAATTTTGATTAGAATTGCATTAAACATGTAGATTCCTTTTGGGAGTATAGACATTTTTACTATGTTGATTCTACAATCCATGAGCATGGGAGATCTCTCCATTTTCTATAGTCTTCCTCTGTCTCTTTCTTCAGAAGTTTATAGTTTTCCTTGTAGAGGTCTTTCACATCTTTTGTTAGGTTTACACCTAGGTATTTGATTTTTTTTGAGGCTATTGTAAATGAAATTGTTTTCACACATTCTTTTCAGATTGTTCACTATTAGTATATAGAAATGCTAATGATTTTTCTATGTTGATTTTATATCCTGCTACCTTGCTGTACCTATTGATGATGTCTAGAAGCTTCTGAGTAGAGTTTTTTGGGTCTTTAAGGTATAGGATCATGTTCCTGCAAATAGGGATATTTTGACAGTTTCTTTACCTATTTGTATTCCTTTTATTCCTTCTTCTTGCCTAATTGCTCTGGCTAGGAATTCCAGTACTATGTTGAATAGGAGTGGAGATAGTGGCATCCTTCTCTGGTTCCTGATTTTAGAGGAATGGTTTCAGTTTTTCTATTAAGTATAATGCTGGCTGTAGGTTTGTCATATAT